TAATAGCATTTAGAGGTTTTTTTTGTTGAATAAAATATAGCTTTTAGAGGTTGAGTTAGGAACGTTAAACACTCTAATGTTTAGAGTTTCACACATATTAATTAATTGTTTTGACAATTATTTTTTTCCCCAAATTTAGCTAATTAGACAATTATTTTTACCGAGTATTTATAATTTAAACCGCAATAGAACTAACTATCAGTAAAGTTAATAGCTAACATCTGACCGCTAATAGAACAACTAGTAGCTACTGCAATAGCTAATATTGCCGAAAAAGTCCTTAGTAGTTTAATTTTATCATTTTTGTTATTTTAATGTCTTTATTTTATTTTTCTTAATTAAGTATCTAAGATGATATATTTTTTTCATTTAGTACAATTTATTGGAATTTCTTATTGGAGTACTAAAATAAATCATTTTAACCCATCATTCTACTTCGTTTACTTTTTTTTTTTTTTTTTTTTTTTTTTTTTTTTTTTTGATTTTTTTTTTTTTTTTTTTGAATTATTCATCTTTTTATTTATTTTTTCATTTTTATGCTTTTTTCTAAGAATACGAAATATAATCACAAGGAAATTTCATTTTTTTTCAAATGAAAAGATAAAAATGAAATGGGGGAGGTGGATTTAAACCCAGATCTATTGTCAGTTCATATATGTACTTACCACTAAGCTATGTCTTAGTGTGCAAATGAAATAGATTTTAAGTGTGATATTATTTAGTAATTAAAATTGAATATTTTAAATTTTTAGTTATAAATTCTTATTAAATGTACTTAATTAAGAAATATTTGTCCATTCAGGCACTTAATAGATAAAAAAATGAATTTATACAAGTAAATAGAAAAATTATAAAACTCTTCACTCTCTCTATATTAAAGTTATTAGCACTTACCCAAAAGAAATTTAATTAAAAGTATGAAAAAAAAGACATTGATTTACGGCTTACCTCTTATTAAAGAATCAAAGACCTAAACGGTTAATTGATCGGTAAAGATGGTAACTTTAAAACGAGAAGAAAAAAATACCATTTTTTGAAAAGAGAAGAAGAAAATCTTTGTATTTTGGTGATGATTTGCCGTGTAATACCATTGTAGTTTGCTTTCATTGACTGTTGACATGGTCAAACCATATTAAATTTCTATTGTGGAGATTTGGAAACTAATAAAAATTGACAATAGCTAGGATTTGTATAAGAACCCATTTGATAATTTGTAGTATTCTATTTTCAAACGCCAACCAACTCCTCTTGTCTCCTAGTTCCAATGTGTCTCAATTTACTCGTTTTAGGGTTTGAGAAAGTTATGCACTAAGTTTGAGATAATATATACATATGACCATTCTTTCAATCTAAGATTGGACAAAGTGTTCCCTAGGAAATTGGCATTATAAGAATAAGAGAAATCATCATCACATATTCACAAGATTTTGAAATATCAAAATAATATATATGTAGCGAATCAGTCGTTATCTTATTATTTTTTTTCATTTATATAGCGAGTAAGAAGTCTTAAATTCAAACTCTCTTAACTATAAAAATTTTTATCAATTTAGTGAGCAAAAGGAAGAGTTACCCCTATTGTGCAGTGCACAATATTTTTTCAACTTGTTAGGCCTTTGAATGAATACAATAGTAAGAAGAGAATTTCTTTTTTTTTTTTTGGAGTATAGGAAAAAGAGATTTGAACATGAATCTATTATTAGATCATATATGTACTTATCACTAATTTATGTCTTAGCGTGCATAAAAGTGAATTTCATTTGCTTGAAAATTTTGAACATGAATATATTTTCATATTGTACATGTACATAGCACTAAGTTATCTTTTGGTATGGATGAAAGTGAATCTGATTTGCTTCAGAATTTTAAAATAATTGATTAACTTTTTTGGCAATGATTTTGCAAGGGAATAATGCCAATTTTTAGGATTTTGTTTACTCCATTCAACGTATATATACACACTTTCCTATGAAAATAATATATTGTGCTAGTGTTAGTCGTAGGCCAAATGCATATTTTAGACTTTGTACTTTTTCAAAAAAAAAAAAAAATCTTGTGACCCCTTATACTTTGCGAGGATTTTATAAGATACCTCTATTTATTTTTTTCGTATTTAATAGGTACCTTGTCATGCTGGAATCAATGCGTGAGTATCCACTTGAGTGTGAAGAGAGTGAAAGGTTGTTTAATTGCCATGTTGTCACCTCTTCCTATTCCTCCTCATGTTCTGTTCCCAATGGTATACTTCTTCCTCGCATTATATTTATCGCTAAGGATGAGGATGACCAAGAACGTGACCTACAAACCTCTGGTGTTGGGCTTGATCAACCGGTAATAAATTCGAATTCGAAATTTCATTTCACTAAGGATGGGAGTGCAAATGGAAATAATACTACTTGTTCGATCTATTTGTGCGAGTATAAAGATTTGAAGATGCTACGAATGATGCCTGAGTGCAGACATTTTTTCACTTATGTTGTATTGATGCTTGGCTAAAGCTTAACGGTGTTGGATTTCAATATTAATAATACACATGCAGTGAAAAAATATAATTATAACGAAATAATTATACTAATAGGGATCCGTTTAAACAATTAAAGTAATAAAAATTGTTTAGAATAATACATCTTTAGTATTATTGTTTAGAATAATATTAGGTTTTAATAATACATTTTTTCTTTTTATCAATTTGATGGGTTTTGGAAGCAGAAGAGGAAGACGAAAGAGGAGGAAGGAGGAGATGACAATGTATGATGTGGCGTATGATGTGTTTCTCTCTCTCTATAACATGTCATTATATTTTTTTAGGTAAGGGGATTTGAGTTGCACACACTTCATTTGCTTAGGATATGTGCCTATTAAATATGAAAAAAATAACTAAAGGTACTTTGTAGGACTCCCGCAAAGTATAAGGAGCACAAGATTTTTTTAAAAAAGAATAGGGTCCAAAAAATAACTAAAGGTACTTTGTAGGACTCCCGCAAAGTATAAGGAGCACAAGATTTTTTTAAAAAAGAATAGGGTCCAAAATATGCATTTAGCCATTAGTTTTATGGTATCAATAATTAAATTGCCTCTCGATGACTCATTACCCCATCTCCACATTATTCAAATGTCAGATTAATCATTTTGATTTGTGCTAAGAATAAATATCTTTTAATTAAATCATATTTATTTCACACAATTATGTCTCAAATAAGTAGTGATATATTTATCTACATCTGTTATATAGATATCAAAATTTATTTATACTTAGGGTGTAAAGTCAACCTAAAAACACTAGTTTAGTGCAAATGAGGAAATTTGTGCCCTTTTTATTTAAGAAAAAAAGAAAGATAAATAGTAATAAATTATGATAATTTAACTTAGATGTATGACAATTAATTATTAACTTAATGTAATGACTCATCCATTTACGTTCAAACTAAATGTACAAATAAAAATACAAAAATATATATTATAAATAAATAAATAAGAAATTTGACTTAAATTTCTGCTAAAAAGTATACACATATTTGTCTTGTGGTAAATATAAATAATACATGAACAGAAAACCGAGTCCAAATTTGGAATGTTTGAGAGCCAAAAATAATAATAATAATAATAATAATAACCTAATTGAATGTGCTTAAATTGATATTTTAGTTCATTTTCAACCTAATAAGTTGAAATTTTCTAATTTCATAGTCCTAAATACAATTCAGATATTACTAAATCAAAGTTGATTAGTATGCTTAAATTGACTATAAATGCAACAATAAAAAAATAAAAAAATATAACATTCGAATGTGAGAAAATAGACCAAATGTTTTTTGATATATACATGGCATTGTACAGTAAAAAATATTCACAATAATTTTCATTGGAAGAAGGAAATAGAAAATAATTTATGATCCTTAACAAGGATGATAGAAAGAAGATGAAGCCATTCTATACTTTGCTTTGGCTTGGAAATCACAAACATAGAAAGGGAGGTTCCAAATGTTTGCTAAAAAGTAAAAAGAAGCCTTAATGTCTCTGGAAGAAGTAATTCTTCCAAAGGAAATAGCTTTGTGTGATTTTGATTTTGGCCTCTTAGGTTTGAGTTATAGTCGATCGACAGGGTATTGCTTTTGAAGTTGATTTTAATTTTTATGCTTTTGCATCCACTTCCCTTTACGACTCCAAAAACATCAATTTCAAATTTTTGAATTCCCTTTTTTCCACCAAAAACAGCCTTTGCTTTCGGTTTGAAAGAATGTCGTTAATTAATATTTTATACCTAATCTTTAATTAAGAATACAAATAATAATTATACGAAGAAACTATTTATTATACTGTAAATTATAAATAAAACCTCTAATTTCTTATTTATTATTGTTATTTTTAAGGGAAAACCTCAAATTTCTTATACAGCCATCATAGATGCAATTAGACATTACATAATTTAATTATTTATGTTTAACATGCATTACGGAGAGGGTTTAATGGTCATTGTACTGTTCCACCTCAGACACTGTGTCACTGTCATTTTCTTGGTAAGAGGTATTAGCAGACACAGGCCATCAAGTGTGATATTCAGTAAAACATAAGGGTAAATTAGTAAAACAAACTTCCAAACCAAACCCATGCCGCTCATTTATTGGGCTTATACATCCAAAAACCCAACTTCTCAACAATAAATTAACCACTAAAAAACTAACTAAACAATAAAATATAATCCACTAAATCAAAATCCCATTCTACCCTTTTCAATCCAACGGTCCAAAAAAACCACCGCGAGTTTCAACGGCAAAGATGAATCCAAATCCCAGATTTGGACAGGAAAATGTAAGTTTACTGTTTTATGGAATCTAAAAACTGCCCGAACAAATATCTGACTGCTGCCCCCACTCGGACTGAATGACTGACACGGGCAGCCTCCGGGCAGCTCCAAACTCCAATACTAAGACTTTATCTCTCTAGAAAACACTAAATTCTCTCTCTAGACTGTCCTTTAAGAGGACTACTACTTAAGGACAGGAACTTTTTCTCATTTAGGCGAGCAAACGCGGAGAGAGCTTAGCCACCTCTTCTCTCTCTTTAATCGGAGAAGGTGGCGGAAGACGACGGTGGTGGTGGTGGAGGTGCAGCGCCTCTTCGGTGACAGCACCTGGTTTTAGAGTGAGTTATAAAATATGGGTCAAGGATTGAGTTGTGCAGCGAGTCATGAACATGGTGGGCTGTTTAGTGCCGTGCAGGCTGGTGATTTTGATACTGTAAAGGCTATGCTTTTAGCAAACCCATCTCTGTTGCACGAAACTACTGCTTATGATCGTCAATCTGCACTGCATATTGCTGCTGCCAATGGCCGGATCGAGGTGGGTTTTTTGAGTATTTGCTTGTTTTTATTTTTTAATTTAGTTTTGGTGTTTTTTATGGTAATTGAGGAGTTGGGTTTTTGTTTTGGTGTTTAAAGTTTTTTTTTTTTTTTTTTTTTTTTTTTTTTTTTTTTTGTTTAAAGTTTTTTTTTTTTTTTTTTTTTTTTTTTTTTTTTTTGTTTGGGATTTTGTCGTTTGTGAATGGGTTTTTGTGATTTTGTTCAATTGCGTAATTGATTGCCTTTTTTTGTTTTTGAATTGTTTGCAGATGTTTTTTTTTTTTTTTTTTTTTTTTTTTTTTTTTTTTTTGTGGGATTTTGTCGTTGTTGTGAATGGTTTGTGATTTTGTTCAATGCTAATTGATTGCCTTTTTGTTTTTGAATTGTTTGCAGATTTTATCTGTGCTTTTAGAACGATCTGTGGATCCAGATGTTGTGAATCGTCACAAGCAGGTAGTGTTTCCCTTTTTTTTTTTTTTTTTAAAATAATTTGTGAATGTGAAATCTCTATTGCTTGATCTTGTCCATTTTCTTAACGGTGGTTGTAATTTTGCAGACTCCACTTATGCTAGCTGCAATGCATGGCAAAATCTCTTGTCTAAAAAAGCTAATTGAAGCTGGAGCAAATGTACTTGTCAAATAGAAATGTTCAGTCTACTATTTATAGCTAAAAGGTAAATAGATGTTAGTTCCAAATATTGATTAGAGTGATCTTTGTGATTTGATCAGATTTTGAAGTTTGATTCACTTAATGAAAGAACTTGCTTGCACTATGCTGCTTACTATGGCCATTCTGATTGTCTTCAAGCTGTCCTCTCTGCTGCTCAATCTAGTCCTGTTGCTGTCTCTTGGTAATTATATGTTGTTTTCCAAGATTTGATTCAATTTTCCCTCCAAATTTATTGTTGTTTTTGCTGTACTAACTCGTACAGAACTTTGAATCTAGGGGATATGCACGGTTTGTTAATATTAGAGATGGTAGAGGAGCCGCGCCATTGCATTTAGCTGCTCGTCAAAGACGGCCTGAATGTGTGCGTATCTTGTTAGATAATGGAGCTCTTGTCTGTGCTTCCACAGGCGGATATGGGTAATGATCACGCCAATGTATTCTTTTACCTCTCTGTTACATGACTATTTGATCTGTCTTGTCTTATTGATAAATTGTGCTGTTTACTCAGCTGCCCAGGAAGTACTCCTCTTCATTTGGCAGCTAGAGGAGGATCTCTAGATTGCATCCGCGAATTGCTGGCATGGGGTGCTGATCGCCTTCAAAGAGATGCATCAGGGTATAGTTCAATGTTCTTCTCATATTTCCATGATTTTGGCAAGAAATGCTTAAATCATCTATCTTTCCTTTATCCGTTTATTGTATTTTTCTAGTAACGTGACATTACTTGCACCTATTCGATGAATATGTTAACCGATAAACTATTGTTAATGTAGTCAGTCTAATTAAATTATTTACTCCAACAAAAAGAAATAATTCTTTTTCTGTTCTAGTTTAGTAAGAGATGAATTGGCAGTCATTTCTTTTAGGCTCAAGTATCTTTTGCAAAATAACAGTTATTGATACAATCTTCCCTTCACAGGAGAATCCCTTATATAGTTGCTTTGAAACATAAGCATGGAGCTTGTGCAGCTCTACTAAATCCATCTTCGGCTGAACCTCTTGTCTGGCCATCACCTTTAAAGTTCATTAGTGAGCTTAATCAGGAGGCTAAAGACCTTTTAGAACGTGCTTTAATGGATGCAAACAGGGAGAGAGAGAAGAACATCTTGAAGGGAACTGCTTATTCACTTCCATCTCCTTCGCATTCTGATGTGGGGACCGAAGACAATATATCCGAGGTAATTAGGTTGTGGAGCCTTTGAAGAACCAAGTTTAGCAGATGACTAGAAAATCATGAGACTAATATATTTGTTGTACAAATATGTTATGTATAAAATGCAGGCGAGCGATACAGAGCTGTGTTGCATATGCTTTGAACAAGTTTGCACAATTGAAGTACAAGAATGTGGACACCAAATGTGTGCACAATGCACACTAGCACTCTGTTGCCACAACAAACCGAACCCAACAACTGCATGCCTCAATCCCCCAGTGTGCCCATTCTGTCGAAGTTCCATCGTTCGGCTGGCTGTTGCCAAAGTCAAGAGTTGTGAAGATGTTGACCAGGACATTGCAGACATTGGTTCACCAAAGATGAGAAAAGCCAGGAAATCACGCAACTTCAGCAGCGAAGGAAGCAGCAGCTTCAAAGGGCTATCGGCTATGAGTCCATTCGGAAAAATGGGTGGCAGGGGTTCAGGAAGAATCGCAGCAGAAAGTGAGTGGGTCGATAAGCCTTGATGATAGTATGTAGCATTTGGCAATCAAAGATTCCAAGTAGCAATCAAGGATTCCTTTAGTTGTGCTCTAAAGAAGAGCAAAAATATCAGAGGAATCAATGTCGGTGCTGGACCCAATCGGTATATATATAACTATATAGATAGAGGTCCATTTGCTATGTAGATTTGGGAAATAAGCAAAAGACGTGAATTGCAGGTTTGGGTTGGTAAGTTTGGTAACATGGTTGCTTTGGGTCATATCATATTGTTGTAATCTTTTGTTTACTTGAGATTGAAGTAGCATTGGCTATTATTTTTGAGTATTGTTAGATACCTGAATTGGTGAATCAAAGAAAAAATTCTTTTCTTTCTTCATTTCAGAGTAAAATATTTCAACTTTCTCTAGATTAATGGCTGCTGTTACTATTACTGAAAGAGACCTCATAGTATCCCGCGGGAGACTCAATGTAAGTCTTTCAACTAATTTCTACAATGTGATGTTATTTTCTTTTTTATTTAAAAATAGCAATTGCTTGAAAAGGGAAACGCAAATAAAAAATTCAAAAGTCAATTACTGTTGGTTTTCTCACTTGTTTGTGAATAGAGAGAGAGAGAGAGAAGGGGAGATGGTTCTGGTGTGAATATACGAATGATGTATTCACTGGTAACATAATTTCAGCTGATGACTTATAATGGCAAAGATATTATTATATATATTAAAAAAGAAAAAAACAAGTACGAGTGGGACCTAATGAACATGATCTGACGTGAAGATAGATACACGTGGAAGATATAATGGGCCTACAAAAGAGAAAAGAAAAAATAAGGCTTACCTAACTTGGTTGTGGGGGCCCAAGAATGGCTGGCCGTTTGGGTGTATTGTATGTATCTGGTAATATTAGAATTTAGAGTATGTATAGAAAAGTAAGCTTCCGGTGGTCTCTGCTGTGTAGACACGCTTTAATGCAAAGTAGCTTTTATCTCTTCTTCCTTTTTTATTTTAATTAGAAAATAATTATTATTTTATGCCTATATAATTTCAAATTTTATTTATTTATTTTTCAAAATATAAAGATAAAATAACTATTTTCACATTATACACGGACAACATAATATCTTTTTTCACTCTTTACTTTCCTGGTTCTGATGTTGACACCTTAATCTTGACCTGTTCCTTGGTCCTAATATCAGTTCACTTTCTTTTTCTCTTTTCTTGTTTTTTCCTCTTTCTTGGGTCCCAAACAGAGTTGTGGCTTTTATGATTTGCTGTAATTATTAGATGGAGTTTTTTTTTTTCCAAAAATAATTCAAAAATAAAGGTTTTTCTTTTCCATCTTCAAAGAAACATGCTCTCTAACATTAAGTGGATGGCATATGCAATAATTTCAAAATAAAATTAACTTTATATTAAAAAAAGTGAAAATATTAGTGAAAATTAAAAATCGAATACTTCTCAAAAAACAAAAATTGAACTATTTCAATGGTTTAATGGTTTAATAGTACTTTAGAAGAATTAGGTTTAGGTCTTGAAAATTATGTATTAGAAAGTATTATTTCTTTTATTTTAATTATAAAAATTTGAACTTTGCTTTTCTATTTGTATCATGTGTTCATTGTTGTTTAATTATAAATTAATTAACCGAGAAATTTTGCAATCAATCAGTCAAAATTTACCATCAACATTTATTAAAAAATCTTATCTTTTTTCTTTTTACTTTTCAAATTTTTAATTTCTCATTTTTCTATTTTTTTTTTCAACAAATCGGATAACGTGTTTATTAATTCTTTGAATATAATAAAATGTTATTGATTAGTTTAATGAAGCAATTGCTATCAGAGAGTCAAAAGATTACATCTACTGTTTATTTTTGGACTGATCTTATAATAATATTTTAATGAAGAACAAAATATCTACAAAAGATGTTTCTTTCTTTATTAAAAGAATTTTCTATTTGAAATAGAAAATTCAATGCTTGAAATTTTCCTATTGGAATCCAATCAAAGCAGTGGGGAAGTTTCACAATGCACATCAACCTGAAAACGTGTCATACAGGATAAGCCAAAGAAGGATTTAATTTATTTATGTAGACTTCACAAGCAGAAATATCTTAAATTGAAGAAGGAAACAAATTGTAGGACTTAAATATTTGAAAAAAGAAAATATAAATTCCTTTTAATAAAAGTATGAAATATTGTAGTTTTCTGTACTAATTTCACTTAACAAATTCTCATATTATGTTAAACATGTGATAATTTAATAAAGAATATATATATATATATATATATTAATCGAATGAAGCTGAAAATGTTTGGACACCGACAGGAAACTTTAATTGAAAGTTAAGGTTTACTTTAGAATGATAGTTTGTGGGTTATTTTTGAAATCTCAAAAATTTTATTCGATTTAATTTTATTTGGTCAATTCTTATATTTGCTATCATAAGATTATTGAAATTTAATTTCTAAAAATTAAAAAAACAAATATTTTAGAATAAGTAGAAATTATGGCAACAATTGCATAATATTAACAAATTTCAATTTATTTAATTTAGTTGAGTATATGAATACTAGTATAAATCAAATGAGTGGAATTAAATTTTATGATATTGAGATAGTTTATTAAGGCTCCTTTTTCTTTTTGAAAAAATAATTTATTTAAAAAATATTTTCTAGATTTTCCAATATTTGGGTGCTACAAAAATGAGTAAACAAAAGAAGAATATTTTTAAATATTGATAAACTTATTATAACCTTATAAACACATATCTACTAATTTATTAATCACTTGTAGCTATCATTTTCAGCCACCGTGAATGGTCATTAATAACTACTATAATTTACATTTTGTATAAATATTTTTCTCATATTTGATAATAAATTTTGAAAATACAAAATTTGTATAATTATAAAAATTTACATGGTCTCATAAGTTAAAATTTCAATATTAAAATTAAACAATAGAAATGAGTTATTTAGAAATATTTTTTCTTTGAAAAATATTTTTTAAAAGTTAATTTTTGGAAACAAATGAAGCTTGTAAAAAATTATTAGGATTAAGGTTAAAATTTAAAAGTTTATGAAATATAAATAGAATGACCAACTCTTGCAAAGAGTGAAAAAATATGCTGTCCATCTTTTGAAGGACAAGCTAAGGACCAAAGACACCTCCAAAGACCCAAAAGCAATCTCTTTTATTGAAATTCTAAACACTGCCCCCCCTATTGGGTTGAGGTACTTTTTATTTTTTAGCTACTTAACCTTATTCCTCATGGAGCCTGCAATTTGTGTTGACAATTTTGTCTGAATTCTAAAACTATAAATTCACATTTCTTGTATTTTATTTTCAGCCTCACAATTTTTGGATTGGAAACTCATCCTCTTATTTATTTGGGACAAGAAGCAACCAAATCTTAATATTATACGTTTTCTTAAAAAAAAAAAAAAAAAATTGCAAGTTCATGACATATAGAGGTTAGAGCACAATGCTTTTTGACCTTAGAATCTAACTTATGGATATTGGCCTTTGCCCCTCTTTCCATGGATATAAAATCTGGTCAACGAGAAGAAATAATATCAAAGCTGATAGTTCATCGTTGATTCACCAAATCGGTAAAAATTCTAATGGTCGAAATGATTTAAACTCAAGACATTTCACTCTTTACACTGGCCAGAATACCAACCAACCAGACTTAATTGATACAAAATCTATGAGCAAAAATTATTTTCTACCATTTCCTAAAACCAATCTTATTACTTTTCTACTTTTCTTAGTTATCCCAGCCGTTTCTCTCGAGATAAAATTATTAAGATTATAGTAATTAGATGGAATTGCAATTTAAGTGATTTAATTACTTCCTTAGTTAAAGAAAATTAGAAAAATTATAGACTATGAAAAAGTGGATAGAGGGTATGTCATGTTTCCTTGTATAAATTACGAATGGATTTCAAGTTTGTAAAATAGAAATTATTGAAATACATATCAAAATTTAGAACAAACAATCAAGAATTACTAAAAAGAAAAAAAGGAAAAAGAAATGTCAGAAATTAAAATGGTGATCTTCTTTACTACAAGATAAACATCTAACCTATTAATAAATTACTAGCACAATGGAAAGTTCTGAACAACCTTATTCATTAAGAGGTCCACACATGCATGAAAGCAGGACAGGAACTCCATGCCCATTTCCATTATTCTCTAACCCTCCATTTCTTGGAGGAGCAACATGACCATTAACAAATAGTGAATTAGGTTCTGGTATAGGCTGAGGTAAGGAAATTTCATCAAGTCCATAAATATTATCGGGGCTTTGATTATTCCTTCTATATTCATTAGCTGCTCTTCTTTCCACAGCAAGAAAGTGGCCAAGAGATGGAGGATTATTCACATTCTGAACATCAGTGCTGTCTCTTGAACATAAAGAGAAAAGCCATGTTTTGGGTTTTTTGTTGCTCTTTTTTTCTTTCTGTACTTCTACTTTCCTTACTTTTGATGATTTACTTGATAGCTCTAATATGTTCTTGACACCGATAAGGCTCCCTAGTGTAATGCTTCTGTCGTGGAAGAAAGATCCAGTAGACTGAAATCAAGCATAGCAGAGAAAATTCAGCAAAATAAAACACTCAATTTATCTGCTTTGACATTCAAGTTACAGTTTGAGAATATATCAGCCAAGCTTTACAAAAAGACGGTTCTAAGAGTTAGCATTGAGGTTGAAATTACTTTGCCAAGAAAATACTATTTTAGATTCTATTAGAAAAACACAACTTGCTAGCTTTATATGAGAACGTGCATAAGAAATATTGCTCTTCATATCTCAAGGGCTTTAGGGATATGCCAATCAACCTTGCTTACGTTTACTTATATTTGCCTTTCTATGATGTGAAATACAATCACAAAATAGAAAGAAGCATCTTAGCAAGTTAATCGAACGAAAGTTAAGTTCATGATTCTCTTAACCAATTCAATTGAAATGGAAAATATAGCGAATGCTCTGTGTGCAATAAACATTTCTAGCCATCCCAGATCTCTCTCTGCATAGTTGCTTTGTATGTAATATTTCCTTGTTGCATATTCAAGACCATCTACTTCACATATACTGTTAATAGAACCTTTCAACAACAAGAATACTAGATATGTTCTAAAATGAATGGCTAATGTGCAAAAGCTATACAAATCAAAACTGTTTGAGTGAGTTGCTTATGTCCGCATTATATGTGTATTCTACATACTAATACTTCCGATAATCAGCACAAAAGTAGGACCATATTAGAAGCTAAAACTACAGTAAAGAAACTATTAAGTGCTAGGACAATGCATTGATAGGGACACCAAATAATTGCATTAACAAATAATGTATCGTTAATAAGTGCATGAGCAAACAAAAAAGATAAACAGTTTAGGTCAAAACCATCATCTCTCTGTGTTTCATTATAACCCTTTCACCCAAACTAGTCTTTCTTTGAAATGAGTGTCTATATACATTGTTAATCCCATTGAGCCCAAAATATTGTTTAAAAACAAAAGTAAATCAAGAAACCACATTTAGGCATATTTAGGCACGAAGAAAACAAACTAAAAGAAACAAAAACAATGTACTCTCTTAATCCTGTCTTTTCGGGAAGTAAAAAAAATCCTAAATAGAACCGATTTAGATACCCAAAAGCAAAAATGTTTAGATAAAATTTTTTTTGTGTGTGCGCGTGTGTCATATATTTACTGACCTCTGTGTCTAAATCTGATGAAGAATCTGTTGAGGAAGTTGGAGAACCAGTGAGTAAAGTATTGAATGATACGGATCCAGAAAATTCACCATTTCTAGGCAAACCTATTCTCACATTCAGGGGCTGCAAACCCAGAGGCCACCCTTCTTCCTAAAATCCAATCAAAGGTCAGTGTATCACTTGAAAAAAAAAAAAAAGGAACTTTCAACATCACAAGCAGAAAAGATAAAAAACATTTAAAAAAAAAAAGTTGTACTATCATCAAAAAACAAGAACAATGTGACAAATAAAAGCTAGACCCAATAGTTCAGAGAAATTATAGCAAAAAGCAACACATACCCACATTCAGAAATTCAGAGAAAAAGCAAAATAAATAATAGAAATTGAAAGTTTAAGAGACAACCCATGAGGGAATAATGCAAGAGAGTGAAAAAGAAGACAAAGAAATACCTGTTGAGCCATGTCTCCTGTCAAGAAGAAGAGTACTTGTTATAATGCATATGTATGTTTCTTTTCTTTTCTTTTCTTGAGATTGATCTTAGTAGCAATAGAAGAAGGAGAAGTCACAATGAGGTCAGCTTCAGGACCCAGATGTGAAAGCAAGAAGTGTCATTTCCTTTGGTGTTTTCTTCTCTACAAGACAAGTGCTGTTTTGTTGAGATAGATTTTGAGAAGCTGAGAAAGGGCAAACTCTAAATATAGATGTGCTTCACTTTGGTTTACATGTGAGGGAAGTTAAAAGGGTCAAAAGAGATAAAATAAGACCTTATCATTTGTGTTCATTTGCTTCTCTTTCTTTCTTAGCTTTACTCCAATTTTTTTTAACTATAAAGAGCAAACATAATCATTTTGTGCCTTCAACAACAACAACAAAAAAAAAAAAAAAAAAAAAAAAAAAAAAAAAAAAAAAAAAAAAAAAAAAAAAAAAAAAAAAAGAAAAAAAAAAAAAAAAGAAAAACAAACATTGGCTAAGGTCAGTAATATGCCACAACCTTTGCACTAAAAATGACAAAAAAAAAAAAAAAAAAAAAAAAAAAAAAAAAAGAAAAACAAACATTGGCTAAGGTCCAGTATATGCCACAACCTTTGCACTAAAATGACAGAACTACCATTCTCTTCAATTCATCAAATTTTTCAATAAGATTTCCTATTTGTATTGAACTATTCATCACTAAAATTTCAAGAAACCAATATTTTTAAAACCTAACTAGTCATTGAACTTTAAGATTTTTTAAAGTTTCAACCATTCAATTAATCGATTTTTAGTTAACCAATATGATCGATTAGTCTTACCTAATTTTCAAATCAATGACACTCGAAATATAGTTGTATGCATGAGTTTTATTTATTTATGACTAAATTTTAAACATGACTGCTGAAATGTAATACTATTGCTGAATATGGTTGTATATTGATTGTACTTAAATAATGCATGATTAGGTCAGGAGTCAAAATCCTTATATTATGGAAGAGACGGGACCCATAAGCATCAGTTTGACTGAGGGCCTGCAAATCCTGCTATCCCCCACTACAAACCTTCCATTAGAAGTTATGAGGGGTCTCAAGCCATGTGAGAGGAAAGGACTTGGAGAATAAAGACATCCAGAAATTATTTTGAGTGTATTGTAGAAGAAATATCCATTTTTAATCTCTAGGATTAGCTGAAATAATAGAGATGTTTTCTTTTTTAACTAGAAATTTTGAGTTTCAGTACTTTTAAATATTTGGAGAGCACTCTTTATCCCTTCGTAGACGTGCTTGTTGCTGATTGAGAATGCACCTCTTGTACCAAATGGTTAAAAAAAATCCACTTTTAAATCCCTAAAAATCTTTTATGTTTTATCTAATGAATTGTATGACATTGAACTGGTCCATCAAATTTTCCAATTGATGAATTGAGAACTTATTAGTGGGAAAAATAGAGAAATGAAGAATAAGCTAAAAATTGACAAAAGTAAATTAAAATTGAATTATATTTCGAAAATAACATTACTCAATAGAATGACCTAAAAAAAAAATTGAGATCAGTGCAAAAATTGATTTTTCTTTCTATACAAACTTTTCAAAAAATGGAAACGTAGTGACATTTTGCAGTTTTTTTCAAAAGCACCATTAACAAATTTCTAATTAATTTTTAATATTTCTATTTTTCCCCTTGAATGAACTATCACTTCCTTAAATTGAAACTGTTTATGGACTCAAACAACACAATTAAAGTGTGAAGACATAATAAATAAAACTGAAGCATCAGAAATGAAATTTACCTAGATAATTATCAAGCAAAAAAAAAAAAAAATCATGGGTTTTAATGATGATGTGGGAGGAACATAGAAGAAGAGGATCCAATGAACTAATGAAGGGAAAGGAAGAGGAGGATCCCTCAAGTATTTGCTTTGGTGGATTGCAATATGGATTTAAACAATTGAGGAAGTCCTCCTGCTCTCAATGACTTTACCTTTTCCTTTGGTCCACATTTCACAACCCTTTTTTTTTTTTTTTTTTTTTTTCCTTTTCCAAACATTTCACAATCTTTTTTTTTTTTTTTTTTCTTTTGTAACCTTTTTGTCGTGTAAGCCCAAGCTTTTCTTCTGTTTTTACATTGATGATTTCATCTCACTCACTTGCTCCTCGTTCAATTCTTTTCTGAATAGAGATTTCTTAATCATTGAGATGCTTTTCCTTCTCTTCGAGATAATTCCCCAGTGGCTATTCATAATGCTTATATTTACAATTTTATCATGTTAGTGAAGAAGAGATATGGTAAAACACAAAAAGAAAACAAATAATTCATTGTCATCCAACTTTACTTTTTTTTTTTTAAAATTTATAATTTTATATGTAATAGTGATGTGTATTTGTAACTACTATAATTTTTAGAAATGATATTTTTTAATACAAAATCAAAATATATTATTTTATTCAGTGATAGAACCCTTTTTTTTTTTTTTTTTCTTTTGACCTTTGGCGTGTAAGCCCAAGCTTTCTTCTGTTTTTTACATGAGATTTTCACCTCACACTGCTCCTCGTTCAATTCTTTCGAAAGAGAATTTCGAAATCATTGGATGCTTTTCCTCCTTCGAGAAATCCAGCTCATCATAATGTTATTTAACAATTTTATCATAGAAGATATGGTAAACACAAAAAGAAAACAAATAATTCATTGTCATCCAACTACTTTTTTTTTTTAAAATTTAAATTTAATGTAAGTGATGTTTATTTGTTTAACACTATAATTTTAGAAATGATTTTAATACAAAACAAAATTAATTAGTGATAGAGGTAAAACATGAATGCTCAGAAATTGCTATTAGATGTAATGTGCCCTCTAATGGTATGTGATACAAACATTTATAGCGTGCTTTTTATTGTAACTAGAGATATAAATGCCTAGCAAGAGTACCGATCATAAAAGTTGAGTGAGAATCTTGGATATTAATTACATGGTTAAATTACTCTTAATAACTCGTTGACCGAGCATTACATTTATTTGAATTGATTTGAGTAAAGCTCGGTCTATATAATTGCTCGGATCATTCCATTAATTGCTCCATCCATTTTATCAATTGCTACTATCAATTGGTATTAGAAACAATACATACAAAGAATAGTCACTACTTACCAAAAGGATTACCCAAAATGGTGCAATTTATACATTGAATTCAATAGTAAAAGTTCTTAACTGGGAGAGAGAAATGTCAAGAATCGCATCATCTTGAGGGGGAAAAGTTGGACTTATAGTTTCAAAATGGCTGCAGTTGTTTCTGTTTTGAACTAAATGGCCCAACAAAGCCCAAGTGAGCTCTGAACTAAAAGCATGCCATTGTTTTCTACTAATGGATTGGGGACATTCTTAGGATATGTGCCAAAATACCTGAAGGCCACTACCCAAATTTGGACCTCACAGAGTAAAAGAGTTTGTAATCAGAGCCATCTGACGGTTAATTATCATAAATTATATTTATAAATTATATATTTATAAATATAATTTTAAAATTATATTATAATATGATAAATTATAATATTACATAATATTATATACGATAATTCACATTTGTTAACTTCGTATATAATAATTCAACTCATAAACTAATACCATATTGGCATAATGCACGCATAATTATATAAGAAACCATAATAGTATCTATACACGCAGTATCCATATGTGTGTTTTTACTTTAGTTGACACAATTTTATTATAAAATTTTTAACAGTACAATTTTATTATCAATATAAAATCATATTAAAATATTATAAAAAATAAGAATAACAATTAAATGAATTACTAATGAAATTATTTTCATCATTAATTTATAATTTAAATAATCATTCAAGAGATTTATATTCATAATTAATTGAAAAATAAATACATGAAATATTATAGACAATAAGAAATTTTTTTTTTTACATGTATTTTAATTAACATCTATATTTAAATATACAATAAAGCTTAAAATTAGTGTTGCATCTATTAGTTTTAAGTAACTTGCTCATTATTTTATGTAAAAATTAATATTCTATTCATTTAGTATTCAATTAAAGTCTCTTAATATGAATGTACGTAAAAAAAAATCTTTTAACATGAATCTGTTTTATATATATAATATTTCTCAAATGAGAATGGAAAATTTATATAAATGAAATAAAATTTTAATTTTATTAATTTTTTATTTTTGAGATTTTAATTTGAGTCAATTTAGACAAAAAAATTAAACTTACATAGATACTATTATTTTAGGCTTAAATAAGGTGTCAAATATTATTATTTTATTGATTGAACTAATAAAAAAAAAATTGCTTTAAAATGGTATTAGTAAAGCTTTACATAAGTTTGAAATATCAAGTTTTAATTTGCTTGGAATAATTATTTATTAACATTTAATAGTTAGTATTCGACAGATACACATACACTTAACATTAATAGTAATATGTGTGTAGGTGAACTATTAAAAATTTTTGAATTTCAATGATTTCCACGTTATAAGAGAAGAGTGAAAATATGTTGCATATCGATTAGTTTGGTCTAAAAAAATTAAAAAATATGAAAATAAATCAAATTAACAAATAAAAGCAAAGTTAACTCTTGATAATTTTTTATATTTAAATCTATGGTAAATCAATTATATATATTAAAAAAATAACTATTCAACACATTTATAATTATGTATTAAAAAATGCAATGCAAAATTCATATTAAGCTTTATTTCTACAAAAAAAAAAAAAAAACTAATTTGATAAATTTTAAATGTATAACAAAATTAAAACTATGACAATAATGTAAGTAAAGAATAAGAAAAGAGTTAGTGGAAAAATAATGTTGGACAGAAACGTAATTAAAACATAATATTATTGTGATAAGAATAATATTATTGTGGTAAGAATGTAATTAAGGAATAATAAAAGAATTAAAAGGGAAAATATCTTTGGATAAATAAAAAAATAAAATGGTTAAATTGTCAAATTACTGTTATGGCAACAGTAATCTTACAGGTGGCTAGTTAATGGGTAGTAAAAGGGCAGTGTGGGAAAAACACTGTTATGGTAACAGTCAACAAACGAAGAAAGCTCTAAACAATAAAATAAAATAAAAGAAAGCTCTAAACAATAAAATACAATAAAAGGAAGAAATATACTGCATGTGAAGGATGAAAAGGAAGATAATAAGCAAAAGAAAACTCTGTATAGGATTTTTCTTGATTAATACCGGTTTCAGATTCGTGCTTTGATTATCTATTAGAGTGGTAGATGCAATGGCTTTAGGGGTTTCGAGCAGCAATTGTTTAGCAAAAATACCTTCAAATCATTTTCGTCCAAAAAATCAAAGATGATAGTTGATGGTGGAGATGAAGGTTTTGCTGATCTAATTCTGGTTTCGATGGTGGAGTATCCGCATTGAAATTCGGGTTCCATTCAAAGTTTTCTAATATGGGATCTGGAATTGATGTTGATGGTGAGTTGGAGCGAATTAATTTAAGATCTATGATTTTAAATGAATTGGGATTTATTGCTTACTCAATGACGTTGTTTTCTCTGCTTTAAAACCCCAGCACAAGAGAACGAAAGAGAGAGAGAAGAAGCACGAAAGAGGCATAAAATGATGTGCTTTGCAAGCCTTTGAGTTAATATTGCAGGTAGCATGTTTATATTATTTTATTTTAAATTCTAATTTTAATTTGAAAATAGAATGCTGGTATATTTAAGTTTTAAAATGAAAACTTCTGGAATATAAACGTCGTGTTAGAGTGATTTGCAAAGTTTTGGATATTTTTTTTTATGTTTAACCTATATTAAGGTATAACTTAGTTATGTAATTATATAAAAAATATATATGCAAGTTAATATTATATGTACCAAAAACTAGTATTACTAAGTTCACAACTTCGAATGCAAAATGAAACGGGACTCAATAAGGGAACGTAACGGAGTGCGAATGCATTACTTATTTTATCCGCATAGACAACTCGTAAGGATTTTCTATCTGGCTCTGCCAACTCAAATTTACTATGCGATTTATGGATTTATCTATCCATTTATGGAGAATTTTTAAATAAGGGGAAAGTATATTTTAATCCCTGAATTTTAAATTAATTAATTAATTTGTCTCTCTGTGTCCATAAATTCTATAAATAGTTACTGAGATTTAACTCTGTTAAACTATTTCATCCTTTAAAGGTTAAACAAGACTGAAAAGACTAAAATATCCTCACTTGAAAAGCGCAATTTCTCATTTTCTTCTTTTCCTAATTGCGCAGAACCAGAAGAACTTCACACTCCTCCATTATCGATCGACGACGGCAATCTACAAATTGAAGCTTTACGTCCTTTTAAACAAAAAATTCTCACCGATTTCTCTATTCTTTGAACTGTTGTTGCCATTTTATTAAGAGGACCAAAGCTGTCATTGTTGCAACAGTTTTCCTCTCTGGCTAGGACTTGACAAAATCAGCTTTTATCCAAAAAACCTCGATCTCTTATTCCTATTTCTTACATAAGAATCGATTTTCTCTCGCTTTGTTACACGAAATCGACTAAAGAGGTGAAATAATAACTACTTCTTCATTCCCGACCAACCAATGGCTAGTTGCTTGTTTCTGTTACCCGAGCCCATTGTCGGCTTCCTCTTCACGCCACAAACCAGCTTCTTCTGATCCTTCTTGTGTCAAACAGGGAGTGAAGAATTAGCAATCCATCTCCGATTATACCAAGAGATTTTGGTAGCTTTTTTTGATAAGGTAAGCTTCAAATTCTTTCTCAATACTGATTACCTAAGTTGGTTGAGCAAAATCATTGGAAATTTTGTTGAGATTTAATCTAAGGTTGAAATTTGGGTGTTTAGGGGCTCGCTGATTCAGGTATAATTTGGATATGAGGTTAATTTTGTCTTTAATTTTCTTCTCTCACTTTAGACTGCACTTTTCTAAATTGACTAACGGTTGGAATGACTTTTTTTGATCGAAAGAATGAAATAGTTTGACGGAACTAAATCTCAGGACTACTTATAAAGTTTATTAAAATAGAGGGACGAGTTAATTAATTAGGTCAAAATTAAGAAACTAAAAAGTACTTTTCCCTTTAAATAATTATTGTTGTTTTACTTTTTTTTAATTCAATAAAAATTAAAACTGTTCTTATTTAAATTATGAAATTATTTTTAATTAATTATATATTATAAAGTTTTTATCTTAAAATACAAGCGGACGAGTTTAATTAATTTATGAGTCAAAATTAAGAAATCTAAAAGTACTTTTCCCTTTACAATAGATTTTGTTGTATTATACTTTTTTTAATTCATATAGAAAGATTAAAACTTTACTTAATTTAAATTATGAAAATTATTTTAAATTAATATATATATATATTATAGATATATATATAAAAGCCGAAACAAAGAAGATAATTCAATATTTATACAATTTTTTTTGTTAAACAGTATTTTAAGGATTTTGATCTATTTTTTTTTTTATATAAAAGCCGAAACAAAGAGATAATTCAATATTTCATTTTTTTTGTTCAGTATTGGATTTATCTTTTTTTTTTTTAAGAATTTTAGATTTTTTTTAAATTTTCTACAATTTCATTGAATATATATTTTTCAACAAGTAAATATAGATAATTATGATTTATAAATAATTAAACATATTGAAGGTGATAGTTAGATAGGAACAAGAATATTAATTCAAATACAATACAAATTTTCTCTTTTTGTCTCAACTTCTCAAATTCGAATGCAATATAAATTCTTTCTCAATTATATTCCAGGTAGCGTTTTTGGTCTTTCTTTCCTCTTCTTTTCCTTTTTCTAATTTATTTAATTTTTGTGCTTCTATCAACGAAATTGTTTTGCTAACTTCTTCTATATTTATTTAGTTTTGTTCTAATTTCTATCTACCTTTCTCATAATACTCATAGAATTTCATTTTCTTTTTTTTTTACGGTGAACTGGACGCAGCCAGCAGCCGCTATTTTCAGTAATGTTCTTGGTAAGTTGAAGAATGCCATCAATTGACAGTAGTAACAAGATCTACTATTTACAAAATTGTTCGGAAGGGTAAGTTGCGAGAAACAATCAATGGAGAAAGTCAACTGACAGTAGTAACGAGATTCAACAAGCTTTTATTAGAAAATTTTCCAATCAAATTATGTTTTTTTTATTGCTCATATGACTTTTGACGTTGTAATCATGAAAAGTTTGGCTGAGTTAGTTATTTGATGAATATATCAATATTTAAATTAATATATCAATATTCAAATATTTTTTTTTCATATATATTTTTTAAACTGACGTTATATTTGGATTAGAGGTTATCATAAATATGATAAGTGATATAATAAAATCCAAAATATATTAATTGTATCCAGTTATTTTGAATTTTATATAGTTCTTTTATAACTCTTTCATGTTATGGTATCTTCCTACATTGAATTCTTATTTTGGTATCAACTTTGTGCTGAGGTATTAGACAACAAGAAATAACACAAAAGATTCTTTATAACATATATCTATACGATTGATTTTCGTTTTCTATTAAAATATAACAACTTTACCATTATAATCTTTATTTTAAATGGATTTAAAATAAATTAAGTTTAAAATGAGGCTTTTTTTTTTTTTTTTTTTTTTTTTTTGTTTTTTTTTTCTTTTTTGTCTTTTTTTTTTTTTTTTTTTTTTTTTTGTCTTTCATGTTAAAAAATTATGTTTTGTTACGCAACTGACAATAATCCATAAATATAAAATAATACAAATAAAAAATTTATAATTTATTTCTTAATATTCTACTCCATTGCGAGGCACTAATAAACTAATGAAAATAGTTATATTTTCTATCTAAAAACATTGCTAATTTTTTTTGAAGAAAAATTTTAATTATTATTATTTCCTAACATTTTATCAAAAGTACTTCCAATTATGAAGTTATAGATTAAAAACTTTTTAAAATAATAATATAATGAAATAATAAAATAATTTATAATAATATTTATAATTCAAATAATTTATAAATATTCGCGCACACGTTGAGCAATATCACAACCAGTAGATAAATACATCGGATACAGATAAAAGGTTTTTGAACTAAATGCATGGGGACGCAGATTCTCGTCCGACCCTATTGGCATCCCTAATTACAAAAGAGGATGACTTTTTTTTTATTTCCACGAGAATTTCCACATTTTTTTTAATATGAGACTAATTTTATAAAAATTGTCCATTAAATTTAAATATGTTTTACACTTGAACTATTCTCGTGGGTATAATATATTAAAATATAATTTTAATATTTATATTTAGACAAACTGTTTGTGTATATACTAAGACATTGTTTGGCAAAATTAGTTATTTTATTATCTATTAATTGTTCTAACAACTGATTTTAGGGCTGCATATAATCCGTTCTAACTCGACCAAACTTGAGCAACTCGATCCAACCGAGCGCAACTCGACGGGTTTGAAAATATAATAGATTGTCATTTTGATAATTTATGCGCAACTCGACGGGTTTGAAAATATAATAGATTGTCATTTTGATAATTTATGTGATAATTTATGGATTGGGTTGGATCACAGGTTCAATAAGTAAATCCATAGACTCAATCCAACTCGTAAAAATGTCATATATGTGTATATGTGAGCATAATTATGAATTATTTCAATTAATTTAATTTAGTTTGTAATTTTGAATATAAATACTAAATTATGTAAATATTTAGTAGCGTTGCCTCTAAAATTATTTTCTTAAATATAAATTTATTTTGAAATGTTGCTAATGGAACATATTATAGTTTAAAAGTTATGGTATAATATATTACTGAGTTTTTTTAAAATTTTATTGGTTATATTTTTTATTATAAAGTTTAATTTTCAAATATTGTTGCTTATTATTATTATTAAATATTTTTAAATGTCATCATTGGAAAATATATTGCAGTTTGTAAAAATTGTTGTATAATTATATTTGAAGTATATATAATTTTAATGGTTATTCCTTATAAATAATTATATTTTATTTAAAACTATTTTTATTCTTTATCGTACATTTTGACCCGAGTGGTTAAGTTAGATCTGTACCTAACTCAACTTATTCATAATTTGCGAGTTCACGCAGTTAATGGATTGAGTTGGGTCAAAAAAACCATTGACATGTATATACAGATTGGGTATTTTAAAAACTTGACCCAATTGGACTCACATGCAACACTAGCTGATTTACTTGTGTCTCATCAAACATAGAAGGGAATAAGGTTTCATAGTTTAGTCTTTCAAATTCTAACGCGATGCCACTTAAAAGTATAAATAAAAGATATCTAGATTTAGTCTATCGGCTCATTCATGAACCAAATCAATCGTAATAGAGATTTTCTAAAAATTATTCTCGCTTTATATTTTTTTTTCCCACTGAATGATTATAAATACATTTGATTTCAAAAAAAAAAAAAAGTAATTTTCATTGGTTTGATGCATAATAGGTTTATAAATCGGATATAAACAAGTAATTATCATAATAAAAATAGTATTTTTAACTTAGTTAAAATACTAAACACTATTTAAAATGCTCTAGTTAGATCTATAAGCAATTTAGAGGGAGAGAGAAAGGAAATATTTCTTACATTGTACATAAACTTAAAATTCAAAGAAAGCACTAAATGATCATTTATCAATATATTTATCAATTAATCCTTCTTTAATTAGGATTAAACTTACATATAATTGCAAAATTTGTCATCAATTTTCACCATATATGATCCCTTTCATACAAGCGTACGTACGTACTACTAATAAAAGGACATAACATCGAAGTTAGGGACACTATGTGTGTGTGTGTATTTTACCGTTGAGCATATAATTTGCTTGACACATAGAAGGAATATTACCGATGTCCGTCTTGGATTTACTCACCCCACTGACAGGCAAAATAACTAATAGAGAATGTTTGCTTCTCTTTTAGAAAAGTCAATGAAACCATTGATTTCTTGACTAAAACAAAGTCAATGCAATCCTTTTTCGAGATCCATTTTCTTGGCTTAATCTTCGAATTCAGAGTCTATTAATCAAGAACAACATAGTGCTCTAATGGGGTCCATCCATAAGGAATCCTATAAGTAAATACATTATAACCTTGTACTTAGTTTTCTTGATCTTTTCGACATTGTAGGTTAGAATTACACATTTCAGATCTATCATCTACATTTATTATGTACATATTTTACGGGTAAAAATTTAATACCTAACCTATACAAAATATCCCATTAAATTTCTCAACCAAAAATAGGAAGTTAATTGGAAATCAAAACGCGAAAGTTAAATTTTCATAGATAGGATAGCATTTCTTTTGGGAATTTTCTGCAATCAAGAAATGGAAGTTAAAGAAAGACATAGTTAACTAACGATTAACTAATTAACTTCACAAAAAAATAAAAAGAAAAATACATGTACTTCATTAACTTGTAACCTTGAATTCATTCTCTTGTCTAGTCTTCTTAATCTTCCCACCAAGATCGGCTCGAAGAGATGGAGGAAACAAAGATTCAATCTCATTTGACAGATCAAGAAGAACTCTCCGGCCAGGTGGGGCCAGAGATTTTCTTTTATTTGTCGGCAGGGATTTAGGTTTTCTTGGTGCAGGTGGACATGGAAGGATAATTGGAATTTTTTGATCCAAAGATGTTGGAGTCTTGAATCCATCATCATCGTCTTGGTTGATCTTGACTTCTTCTAAAGATGGCAATTCTATCTTTAAAGCAGAAACCAATAACTTGCATTTACGATCTTTTTCTTCTTCCTCTTCCTTTTCTTGTTCTTGTTCTCGTTCTTTTGGATTTAGCTCTAGATCATTACCATCATCATTAATACAGTCTTGTGAGGATGCAATTTCACACTTCTCTTCAAATTCTAATGAAGGTCTTACAAGGAAATTGAATTCCATGGAATTCAAATCCTTCTCGGATATAAGCATTTCAGAATTTGATACCCCCATTAGCGAAAGCGGCTTTAATTGAGAAAACATCAAGAAAAAAAATCAAGAAACGGTAACAAATAATCAAACACAGTCAACAGATCAACCTAAAACTCAGAATTCTGAGGAAGAAGAAGAAGAAGAAGAAGACAGTAAAAACTAGTAATATATATAAGAATAAACAAACAGACAAGAAGAGCTAAGGTAATTAAGAGAGAAAAAAGAAATGATGTTCAAATAGAAACACAAAGATTTAAATTCTTTAAGCTTTGTTTGGAATTTAGCTTATATGGAAGTGTTTGTTTATGGGAGAGAATGAAAATAAGGAGTGTTGTGAAAGAAAGAAACCCACTTGGGCGAAGGATCCAATGCAGACTTATGATATAGGCAACATATATTCACATCTATTGTCACTTTCTTTACTTTTTTTTTTTTTTTTTTTTAAAGTGTTGGGGAAAGAAAGAGAAACCCACTTGGGAGGATCCAATGCAAAGACTAATAAAGGCAACATATACACATCTATTGCAATTTCTTTACTTTTTTTTTTTTTTTTTTTAAAAAAAATATATCATAAAGGAATAATAATAAACAAAAAGTCCTCTCACCCTTTTTTTTTTTTTTTTTTTTTAAAAAAAATATATATAAAGAAATAATAATAAACAAAAAGTCTCTCACCCTTTTCTTCTGCTCTAAAATTAAGGACACTAGAGAGTCTCTTTCACTCACTCATATGGGTGAGGGCATTAACAAACTAGTATAAAATCTGGTTTAAGCAATGCCAATCGCTTTTCCTCTGATTTTCTACACATTTTGATGCATCTTTTCACGTGCTTTACTACAGAAAAACCATCTGATGTTAACCTATGTCCATGTATTTGCTATTTGCCATTTGCCACCGCCCTCTCTATTTCTCGCGATATTTTGACTAATATAGATAGGAGTTTAAAGGAGGCGAGCTGGTTCATTTGCAAATAAGCTGAACTTGAGTTTAATGATGTTCAGCTCAAAAATTTATTGAGTCTTATCGAACTTTTATATGTATATACATATATATAATATTTATTTTAAACTTATTCGAATATTGAGAATTGAGCTTAAAATTGTTTTTGAGTTAAACTCGAGTTTCAAGCTGAGTTCAAATCTAAAATTTTTAGGCTCATCAAATTTCAAACCCAGCTAATTAAATTCTATTGAGCCGAGCTTCAAGCCATTCTAGTTCAGCTCAGCTCGTTTACACAGCTAACTACCTATATTATGAATTCCCTTCCCCCCAAAGAAACAAAGTGTCTTTCTTGATTTATTTTTTCTTCATTAATATTTTTATTTTTTTAGAGGGTAACTTTATAAATTTAATATAACAATAAAATTACTCTGCTTGCGACTTGAACATAAGCCATCGATCAAACTATAAAACTAGCCTCTTTGAAAAGATTAGGTGCATCAATCCTCCCAGAATCCACATTAGAAAAAATACATTATGTTTTTTTTTTTTTTGGATTTTAAGTATGTTTTTATAGGCACATTATCCATTAACTAGAAGTGAAAATAAGAAATTAAAAAGTGATTTTGTTTTCCCATTTTGATCTGTTGCTATACCCTAATTAAGCCTTTTGAGAGAAAAATTGATTTGTGCATGAGTGCTAATGTTGTCCCTTGAAGTGGCTGCAAAAAGACAATATCTATTTGCGTCTGCCTGATGGAGAGCCCATATTATTATTAAGCATGCCTTCTCTTGATGAAGCCTGCAAGATCATTTTTGTACTTTGAAATATTTGTGTTTGTTTAATTAATTAAAAATATTTAATTATAAGACAAATAATTGTGATGTCATTTTAAATAACAGATCAGCTATATATAGATTTACAATTAGGTTAATCAAGTTTGTTTATGAGTAAAGCATACGAAAAGTTACTTCCATGTGGATCATAACACCTTCTTTTATTTAATTATTATTTTTATTATTGTTTTTACTCTTGAAAAAAATATAATAATTCCTATGAAGATTATCAAATTACAAAGTCAAAAATTTGTTTATCATAAAATTGTTTCTTCTTTCCATAGCTAATAAGTAAAATTTTCGGATCAAATTTGACCATCTCAATAAATTAAAAAACAATATTCTGATCTTCACTAACTACTCAGATCAGATCCCATAAATCAAATTAATAATACAAAAACAGATAATACATCCACTAATTTTGCAATTAAGAAAGCTGTATTTTCACATGGGTCCCAATGCATGTAGGCCCCCCCCCCCCACAAATACACACTCTCATGAGTGGGTCCTACAAAAGAACAGGCCTGGCCAGCCATAAATAATAATTATATTCATCTTGTAGTAGGAACTAACTAATGACCAATGAGTCTTTGGCCTTAGGATTCCCACAACAAGATTTGTTGTAATTTAGTTAGTCTATGATTATAATTTAAATGGGAGTTGTTAAGAAATTGAAATTTTTTTTAAAAAAAAATTTAGGAAGCCATTGTAACACGTAATGTTTCTTCTCTTGAAATGAAATATGATATTCTATTTATAGAGATGATGATTTGAGATTTAAGATTTGAGAATGTCTTTCTTTCTTCTTTTTCTTTTTCTTTTCTATAGATGTGAGGAAAGTGTGTAGGTCCTATTCTTGGATTGCTTGGATTTCACCCCATGATGGACATGATAAGGCTTTCTGCACATTTTTTAGCAGGTTTCCCACACTGCTGGGGCCTGGGGTTGGGCTACAACTTTTTTTTTCTTTTTTCTCTATGTCCCAATTTGTCCTTCTAATTCTGCTTGAGCACATGGTAATTCTTCTTCTTTTTTTTTTTTTTTTTTTTTTGAGCACATGGTAATTCTTTCTGTCTTTTTTTTTTTTTTTTTTGGTGATAACTGGTAATTCTCACTTAATGATATGCAATAGTACTTCTAACTTAAGAATTTTATTTAATTCAAAAATATCTATTATTTTTTTTTTTTTTTTTTTTGGTGGAGTGGTAATTCTCACTTATATATGCAATAGTACTATCTAACTTAAATTTTATTTAATTCAAAATATCTATTAATAAGTGATAGTAATGAAATTTGCAAATAACAATTGTATTTGATTCAAAGAAAACTCTTAAAAGATTGTAATGCTTCTTCTCTGAGTCTCGGTATAAGTATTTATAGACTTTTATAGCTATTCTAGGTAAAAGACAAAAACTTAATACCGAGCGAGAATTTCAAACTTTAAATATATAATAAATGTTAATCTCTGATCAAGTGTTATTTATTTTGAAAATGACTAAATAACTCTCGATCAATTCTGAATAATTTTTCTATCAATAAGATTCAAGCTATTCAAACTGCACTAGCAAAATTATTTCAAAAAAAAATGCACTAGTAAAATATTTTAGTAAATTGAATCAAACTCGAATTTGATGAAATAATTCAATTATGAAATAGGTAGATTTAAGTAGTGTTATATTGTATTCAAGTCATTATATAATGTAATTATTTTAGCATAGTTGTTGTAGTTCTTGCTCTTGGTTTACAAAATTAAAAAAGGAAAATGGAAATCTTTTATACAAATTCAAGTTTTTAATTATAATGAATTTTCTAAAATGTTGAGCAATTGATGGGCATAAAAATGATGGCAAATCAAGTAATGAAAAATGAGCTAGCAAGCAACAAAATGGCATGTGGAGAGGAGATTAATTTTTATTAGTAAAATATTGTATGAGAGACTACTCTTCTTATTAAACTAGTCATTTACTCAGAAGTTAATTGCACAAAATGTGAAATATTATTATTATTATTATTATAAGGAATTCAAAGAATATTCATTGCATTTCAAAGTTTTATTTTATGTATTTTAGATGAATTCAATGCTACTAAAAATTTATAATTTACTTAATAGTATAAAGTTGAGATAAGTAAATTATTTATCAATATAAAGTGAATATAAAAAAAATTTAAAACATACAATTTATGCAATAATAGGAAAAACAATCCTGAAATTTTTATTGTTTATTTTAAAATAATATTAATGATATTATTCATTCTATTAGTTATTGAAAAAAAAGATATTGAAAAGTTGAATTTCTTGAAATAATATTAATAGTATTTAGAAAATAAAATTAGAAAAAAATTGATATCAATTGCAATTACATTGGTAAGGTATTAAGGGAACAAGTGGAAATACACCAAAATAGAGGGCACAAGTGTGATTATTATAATTAATAGACAGATTTGTGCAGTAATTATGAAGTTAATTATGTATGATATTGGGAAATGTTATGATAATATTATGTGGGGTATAATAATATATAATTGCTTAAAAATAAAAGTGAACACCAAAACACACACTCTCATGGCACATAATTGCATCTCATTCTCATTCTCATGCTTAATCATTTTGCTTCCCATCTCTGATCATCATGTCCCCATCTCTATCAATCATCTCTTCCTTCCCCATCTTCCTTCTCCTTACTTTCCTTATTCTTTACCACATTTTTAATTTTCCCGCCACTTCTCCCTCTAGGGTTTCGTTTAATTTAAACAATTAGAGAATGTTATTAATAAATAAATCATTGATGATATTTATAATTATATATATATAGTACTTTCGAAATTACAACTTATTGGATTTTGGTTAATAAAATAATAGTATCTTCCTTCAAGGTTTAGCTAGGGTTAACCCGCATACATACATAGTAGATCTGGATCAACAGAGGTTTTCTTGGATTAATCAGCTGCAGTAGCCGGCAAGATTAGGAAATCTGTATATATAATTAAAAATCTGAGTTTCATGATTATTATTTGTTAATCTTTATTATCAATTGATACCCAAATACATTGCACTTGTGGGCATAATATGACAGTGAGCATCTCTCTATTTATTAATTAAATAAGTGATACATAATTTGCAGAATAAGAATGGAATATAGTCACTTTCTCGGAATAACAAATTTACGGATTAAGAATATAATATGATTATTCATAAATTTTATAAATGTGTGTTGTGGAATTTCAAAAGATCAATCGAAGACTCACGTTATTCTTTCTTTAATTGGTTAGATAGAACACACGTTACACGCATATAGAATAAAAGATGAGGTGATAGCTACAAATTGTGTTTTGTTTTATAAGTAGCATTCTTAATTAATTTCTTTTTTTAACGTAATATATATGTTTTTGAGAAACTATTGTTTTTTAATTTTAATTATTAAAATATCAATGTATAATTATATTACGTAAGCTCAAATGTTAAGTGATGAGTAAACCTAAATATAGGTGCATAACAGTATGGCATTCGGGTACCTCCAATGGACAATTTCATGGGCTCATGGGCCCGATTGGCCTTTTTAGAGGAATAGAAAATTGGGCTCCACAATTCAAACCCAAAATCACATATGGGTTTTGGTCATAGCTTCAGTTTCTCTTAATTTTGTATCTCATTGCTTTTGTTTTTATAGGATAATAATTAAAAAAAAAAAAATGATCGGTGGTGTGCTATAATGCCAAAACAACAAACTAAATAAATTTGTTCAGTAAACAATTGTTGAATCAGTGGAAAATGATTGCATATGAAAGGTTAAGAGTTTAAAATTTAAAGTATTAAAGTTTGAAAAGGTTTTACCTAAATATCATCTTGATCTAACCGTGAAATTATATGTATAAAATAATAGTATAAGAAGATTGGAGCTTTTTTTTTTTTTTTTTTTTTTCATCTTGATGCTAACCGTGAAATCTATATGTATAAAATAATAGTATAAGAAGATTGGGAGCTTTTTTTTTTTTTTTTTTTTTTTGTTAATCAGAAATGTAGATCCCTTATCACATATTTGGCCCTCTTAATAAAACGTATTTCTTGAGAGATCGAAATTTATAATTTTTTTTTTTTTTTTTTTTTTTTTGTATAATCAGAAAATGTAATCCCCTTATCATATTTGGCCCTCTTAATAAAACGTATTTCTTAGAGATCGAATTTATATTTTTAACTTTATATAAATCGATATCGATATCGCAACACCTTATTAATAAGAGCGAAGTTTTCTCTTAATGCATACTAAAAAAGCCCAAACACAAACTCTAAGACAAGGGGATAAACTTTGATGATAGTACAGAAAGTGTCAAATGGCAAAATCATCTTTACTTATCACTTTGGTCTGCCTGATGTAATGGTCGATTCTTTTTATATAAAATTCAATTGGCTGAGCTGTGGAAGTTGATGTTGGTCAAACATTTAGCTAATTAATGGTCTCCAAAGGGAAATCAAAAACAACACCTAATTCAAACTTTCCATTCAAAGATGATTTTCCATGCACAAGCATCACATGGACATTACTGCTTGACCAAAGACTCTCTCTTGCTCTGCCAAAAGCAAAAACAGAAAGAATGTAAGCGAACTCGATTCTCAATTTCTGTAAAAATGAGATATAAGTCTAATTTTCTGAGAAGTATATTTTATTAAAAAAATAAAAAAATATTTAAACTCTACTGCATGAAAAGAGTGAACTTCTTGATTATATAAAAAAAAAGAACTTTCTTGATATGCCCGTTAGATTTTGTTTACTTATTTAATAAAATCATTATATTTAAGAAATTGCTTTTGGATGCAATGCAAAAATTTAATTACTTTTAAATCCGATCATTTATAATTTTTTTAATTCTTTAAGAATTTAACAATCTTAGTCCCTGACCTAATAATGAGCTTCCAACTTCAAAATTTCTCCCTTGACCCCCCAAAAAAAAGAACTATAAGTAGCAAATTTTCCACAATATAAGGCCAAAAACTTCAAACTTTCCAAAGTTTTTCAAACTTACATGGACAGTCATGTTGTATGTTTCATCCTTTTCACTGCTTCTTTGCAATATTTTCCTACCTACTACTTCATCTGCTATACCACTTTATTGATTAATATAATTACTATCCTTGACGTTAATTACTATTAAAAAAATTAATAATGTGCGGTTAGGTAAACCCAAAATTCCTAATGATGTGAACTGTAATCTAACACACTAGTGGCTGTGATACTTGTCTCAATTCATGTTAGTGCCTAAGAAATTGAAATGCTAGTTAGTACTAAAGAAATTAAACGAGAGGTTTGTTTATGAGAGAAATTAGATTTATGGAATAAACAACTAAAAATAATATAAGTTCAAAAAAAAAAATAAAATAAAAAAGATAAATGGAGAACAAAAATTATTTATTTATTAATTTAAGGTACAAAAATTACGTGTTCGAGGGTTTATGACTTCCAGTACCATTTAATTAAGTGAAACAAAAATGATTTATCGCAATTTATATAACTTATTTAATAAATATAAACGTCACTAAAAGTTATTTATTCTGAAATCTATTATTTGCAACATAAAATTGATCAATGGCATAAAAATTGTGTTTTAAGGTTTCAAAAATTGTACCATTTGATTATGTGAAGTAAGAATAAGTTATTTCAACTTATCTTAATTTAATTCATAGAAAAAAAATGGTATAGAAGTTTTCTAATCCAATTTATTACAACTTGCTATATAAAAAAATATCATACAAAATTTATTTTTTCTATTAGCTATTTAATGTGTTATAGGATTATGTCATATAAAAATTATTTTTTAATTCGGCTCTTCTTTTTTTTTTTTTTTTTTTTTATCAATACAAAATTTAATTTTCTATTAGCTATCTCTAATGTGTTAAGGATTATCGTCCATATACAAATTATCTTTAATTCGGTCTTCTTTTTTTTTTTTTCTTTTCTATGGGTTTTAAGTCCCCCCTTGTATAAAAACAAAACAAATGAATTTTACATTTATCCCGGAATCGTTAACAACTTTTAAGCATTGATTGACTAAACATTTACAATTTCTCAAAATAATTCATAAATCAAAATAATTTTTTTTGAGAATCATTTTTTTTTTTTTTTTTTTTATGGGTTTTAGTCCTCCCTTGTATAAAAAAAACAATGAATTTTACATTTATCGAATCGTTTAACAATTTTAAGATTGATTTGATAAAAATTTTTAATTTTTCTCAAAAAAATAATTCATAATAAAAATATTTTTTTGAGAATTATAAATTTAATAATCTTCGAGTGAGTATTTAGTTTATCCTTTTATGATTTGCTTTAATTTTTTATTTTAGGGCGAAACCCAATTATTATATTACTAAATTCAAGACTATTATAAAAACTTATTGAAAATAAATCCAATTATTATTATTTTTAACTTATTGTAATAAGTGATATATTTTGAGTTGAGGGTATTGATGCCTCAGAGCATAGCAGAAACTCCGTTTCCTACAGCTTTCATTCAAGATATTCTCTTGTAAGTCAACCTGAGTAAGTCAAGCAGTTCTTTTCCGCGAAACCAAACACTAAATTGAAAATATTAAAAGAAAGGAAAAGAAAATCAATTAATTTGTCACATTAAATTTTCCACAAAATCTCAGTTTTCTGATTGTTCTTCCTCTGTCTTTACCACATACGACTATATTGCAATAAAACAAAACAAACAAACCCATCTTGCCTGTCGCCAATTCAAAGCTGTCATCTTTCTCCCTGTAAGCATGGAGCTTCTCGAACCCGTGCACCCGACCCGTGATTCACTTTCTGGGTTTTCTTCTCCTGGAAGTTTCCGGGTTGGGTATGACCGGGCGAGGAGTTCCCACTTGCCGGGTATTGTGGAAGAAGGTGGTGGTGAGAAAGTGTATGTAGCTGTGGGGAAATCTGTTGAGAAAGCTGTGGATTTGCTTCAATGGAGTATTAAACTCTTTGGGAAGAAACAAATCTGTATTCTTCACGTTCACCAGCCCTCTTCTGTTATACCAACTCTATGTAACTCTCTTTCTCTCTATCTCTCCTCCTTTTCTTCAATGGCCGCCTAATTATGTGTTCTATTTGAATTTGGAAATGCTGGTTGAATTTCTAACTCGTGGAATTTAGCTTTTCTTGTTTTGTCTTTGAATTTATGTTAACTGAAGGATGTTGCTCCATTTGGTTATATGTTAATATAAATACAGAAATTCTCCACAAGAAAATAGAAATGCAGAATTTCCTGGTTAAATTTGTTTTTTGAAGGTTTAAAAATGGCTGTATTTTCTGGTTATTGGAAAAAGTTTAGATTTCTGTTAATTTAAATTTCTTGAGAAAAGAAAAAGTTAAATTAATTAATGTATTTTCCCTAAGTGGTTTCAAGTTCTATTAATTCTTAGATTTTTACTGCAGTGGGAAAACTACCCGCAAGTCAAGCAAATGCTGAAGTAGTTTCAGCACATAGACGGGAGGAAAGGGAATTGACAAAGAAACTTTTAGAGAATTGCTTGGCCATCTGTCACAAAGCCAAGGTTAGTTGTATCCCACATTTCTTGTTGGCCTACGTGATTAGTATGGTTATAAAAAATATGCTGTTTGTTTATTGTAGGGAAATGATATAATTGTCTTGATTTGTGCTTGTCTTATAGATTATTTCAACAGAATTCCTGGAATATATTTTTTCACTTACAAATAATTTATAGCTTTCTGCTTCACAAAGAAAATGAAATCAATACATGGCACATTAGTATCCAACTGATTACTGCTGGATTTGAATCTAGGATGGATAAAGGGGATGGGTTTGGTAGGATTGTGGTCATTGTAGATTACTCACACCTTTTTCATGAAAGGATACTGATGATAATACCATCAGAATGTTAATTTTCGTCCTAACCAGAATTGGATGGAGCAAAAAATCTGTTTATAGTTCAGCTTAGTTTGGGTTTTGGTCTAGTTCCCAATGGTTCTTGTGGAATGGTTGTTCTTTTTAGTAGTCGACAGAGAAGAGATATCTGACGGAATGGTTGTTCTTTTTTAGTAGTTGGCAAGAAGAGTTATCTTATGCATTAACTCTTTTTGCTAGTTTTATTTTCCATGTTTCAGCCTAGTCATCATTACTCATGCAATTCCATATCGAAGACATTAGATTTTTCCAAGACATTTATCTTCTTGATGGATTCATCTACCACTCTCAGGGAACATGGTTACTTTGCAGGTTGAAGCAAGTATCATTACAACTGAATGCGAGCAAGTTCATAAGGGAATAGTAGAATTGATAAATAGACATGGTGCTAGGAAATTAATTATGGGTGCTGTACCAGAAAGGTATGTGGTTTATAAATCTTCTGTACTTTCATTCATACTTCATCTCCATCAAGTAGGCTACTGCTTGAGAATTAAACCTGGACAACATGTATGATTGATCTTTTTCTTCTTCTATGAAGCCAATTTTGTTGCAATGGTGTAACACCTAACCTTTGTTTATAATTGCGTGCTTATCTGTATATCATGCATTAATAGATAATATAAGGTTGCAACACAATGCTCTCTCATGGTCTGATATTTTTTCCTTAGATAAGACTCTGTTTATTACTTGACTGTTCAAGTTGGCTTTGGTGTTGTTTTGATATGTAAATAAAAAGGAATTGGATATCTAAATAATGCATGTCTTCTTAAGCAAAATTTGTCCAGCAGACTAGCATCTTCTGTATAACCTTAGTTTTTCTGTTACTATAATAGATACAATCTACATTAGGTTCTGCTGATGGTTCTGTTCTGGTTTAATGTAGAGATATTGTAGAGTTTTATTTGTTTGTTTTACTTATTTATCTGTGTTTTTGTTGTGTGAAATACTAATTTCCCAATACAGTTGCATGAAGGTGAAGAAGAGCAACAATAAAGCGAATAGTGTAGCCAAAGATGCTCCACTATTCTGTGAAATATGGTTTATCAACAAAGGGAAACATGTGTGGACAAGAGAAGCTTGTGAAAGGCCAAGTCTTTTGCCACCATCTGATCACTCGCTGGGTGCAAGTAACGAAACTTTAAGGTCTAAATCTTTGCGGTATAGTAAGAGCATATTGCCATTTGACCCAGAATATCATCGATCTAGTTCAACAGCAGGTGTAAGTTGTGCTCGAATTAGTGGTTGGGTACAAAGTGAGTCAACCTGTCCAGAAGAGCCAATATTGCATGCTAGATCAAGTTCTGCTAATACATGTTTTCCCCGCTCTATCCAGAATTCATTTGGTACTATAAGTAGTAGCTCTGGGACTTCCACAGAAAGAAGGGTGTCTTTAGATTCTGATTCAAAGGTTGAGGAAGATCACTTATATTGTCAGCTTGCAGAATTAAGGATAGAAGCAGAAGCATCAAGGAAAAAAGCATTTGAAGAGCTACTGAGGCGTAAAAAATTGGAATCCCAAATTTTGCAAGTTATCAGCAAGGTAAAACATGATTTCAGCATCACACTTTTATTTCAAGGACTTGCTCAAAGCATCTACTATGATGACAATAACGGTGTCCATTTCACTTTTCGTGCCTTGTACTTTCAGAATTTTCAGAAGAATAAGTTTTAATGTTTTATGCTTTCTGAGTTTGTCGGTATTATTAGGGTCTGGACATTGCATATCTACATAGGATTTAACTTTAGGGGACGAAAAGAGGGGAGGAAAAGAAAAAGAACACTTGGAACATCAGCATGCTTTTGATGTAGAGTTTCAATTTTATTTTTCCATGTTTTCTGTCAATTGGTGAAAGCATTCCTTAAAAGTACGAGTTATGAGATATTCGCATTCTTTTTCTGTCTGCATGCCTCTATTCTTGCATTTCACAATTAGCTTCAGCAAGTTTTGTACATATTTATTTGAATTTGTTAAGTTTAGGGATCTTACTTCCTAGTTGGAGATTTGAGACATATTTAGTGATCATGCCAATATGTTTTTCCAATTATGTCTTATAGTTGACTTTTAGATATCTTGTTTATCTATCTTCAGAAGTCTGATTCCTAGTTCTCTTCAGGTCAAAGCCTTCGATTCTGCATATGCAAATGAAGTTAAACGTGGAGTAGAAGCTGAAGATGCACTGAGGAATATAATAGAGGAAGAAGAAAAACTCTTAAATGAGAAAGAAGAAATAACTAAAGAGTTACAAAGGACTATGAGAAATGTTGCTCTTCTAGACAATCGTGCACAGGAAGCAAACCGTAGACAGGATGAAGCTGCTGGAGAATTGAAACTTATTCAAACTTCCATTGCATCTCTACGACAGGAAAAGCAGAGAATCCGACGGCAGAAAATGGAAGCTGTGCATTGGCTTGAGCGTTGGAAAAACCGTGGGCATGTTGCAGCTCCAAACTGTAATGAGTTTCTTGGTTTAGTTGAAGAGTTGCCTGAGTTGGCAGAATTTTCATTATCTGATTTACAAACTGCGACATGCAATTTCTCTGAAACCTTCAAACTCAGGCAGGGAGGATATGGTTGCATTTACAAGGGTGAAATGTTGGGTAGAACTGTTGCTATAAAGAAGCTGCATCCACATAACACGCAAGGCCAATCAGAGTTTCAAAAGGAGGTTAGCTGCTCTCTCTCTCTCTGTCTAATATCATAATGATGGTTAAGAGTTTGAGGTTTCCTCGCATGATTGGGGAAGAAAACATTGCCATAGATTTTTGTATCTTTCAACTGCTTGTTGGACCCTGTAGTTTGTACCTATTTACTATCTTGTGAATTGCTTGTATGCCTGACAGTTACAGCATTACTCGTAGGTCTTTGCTTTGCAAAGACTTAAAAAATTCACCTGTCAGTGTCACCCTTTAGTTCGTCAACATGCAGGCCTTGAGTGTCCCCGAACATTTGACTATGATTTGGACATGAGCTTTTAATTTACATTTATTGATTACTGAAAGAACCTTCAAAACTTCTGTGCACAAGATTAGATTAGCAACATATGCTAGTATCTAGGTTTCCTTGACTTTTTAGGGTAATTGAAGTATGCATGGAAAACTTCAAATAGAAATTGTGTATTGTGATATTGACATTACTTCAGAGTGCAACTGGCCTGGTGAAAAACATATTGCTTTCAATGGATGTCCTACTTCCTCTTATCTGTAATAATAAATCTGGAGGAACCTTATTTGTTTATGCAGGTCCAAGTTCTTGGTAAATTACAACACCCTCATTTAGTGACTGTACTTGGTGCGTGCTCAGAAGCAGGGTCTCTTGTATATGAGTACTTGCCCAATGGAAGCCTTCATGACGGCCTATTTAGGAGAAGCAGCATTTCGCCCTTGACATGGAAGGTGCGAGCACGGATCATAGCTGAAGTCTCAAGTGCACTTTGCTTCTTGCACTCTTCTAAACCTGAAAAGATTGTCCATGGTGATCTAAAACCACAAAATATCCTACTTGATTCTGAACTGAGCTGCAAAATATGCGAGTTTGGAATGTCCAGGCTGGTAACAGATGATACGCTTTATTCGCCAAGTTTTCGCAGAGGCACTGAGCCAAAGAGTGCTTTTCCATACACAGATCCAGAGTTCCATAGAGTTGGTGTTCTAACAACCAAGTCCGATGTCTATTCCTTTGGAGTGATCATTCTACAGCTACTCACTGGAAGACCTCCTGTTGGGTTGGTAGGTGAGGTGCGTAGAATGATGTCATGCGGGAAATTAGCCTCAATTTTGGATCCTGCAGCAGGAGAATGGCCAACTTTTGTGTCAAGAAGATTGGTAGACTTGGGGCTACAGTTCTGTGAATTGAGCAGCAGGGAGAGACCTGAGTTGACACCTGCTCTGGTTCGGGAATTGGAGCAGTTGCATGTGTCAGAAGAGCGACCAGTGCCATCATTCTTCTTGTGCCCCATTCTTCAGGTAGGTAGATGACGTAAATGCTTCTTCAAAAAAAAGTTGATAACAATTTGACTATACTGTATCTACACACGGCAGAGGCACACACAATAAAATATGCAGATACCCTTCTTCCGGCCCTGCATGATTTTATCATTTTCTGGTCGACTATAAGCATAAGCCTTGTATGGTTGACTTAGATTCTTAAATTTGTTTTGGTGATGAACTTATTACGCCCAGCCCAGGTGCCTGGTCATCTTTGCCTGGGATGGAGTTGTTACATTCTGCACCTTGTGGCTTACGCATTTAATGAATTTTTTCAGGAAATAATGCATGATCCTCAAGTGGCAGCTGATGGATTCACCTATGAGGGTGAAGCCTTGCGCGGATGGTTGGAAAATGGCCATGAAACATCTCCAATGACTAATTTGAAGCTGAGTCACTTGAATCTTACTCCCAACCATGCGCTCCGTCTCGCAATTCAGGACTGGCTTTGCAAATCTTAACAAATCCAAATTGATTCATGTATATGTATGTATTACATTGTTGTTAATCATGTATGTATAGATATGAATTCAAGCCATCTCTGCTTAATCTTTGTATATAAAACAAACTACAGGAAGTGGCTTTTCTACCACGTTATGTAAAAGTTCATGAATACAAGCCTTGTCTTAGTATACATTAGGACAATAAGACAACATTATCAAACCTGCAACATAAAATGACAGCAACAACAAATCTTAGCCACTGATAAGATATTTCTGGAAATTTTGCAGATGCAATATCTGCTACAACAAAATCTCAAACCCTAACATCCTTGCAGGATTCCTTCTCTCAGTGGAAGGAGAGAAGCGACTGTTTCCTTCTCGGTACCACTAAATGGGTGATCTTCTTCTACAATCTGTACTTCATCTCTCTTGTCATCTAACAGTGGATTATCATCCTCTCCAGAGATATTCCAGTTATGTAACTCTTCCTTTTTAGGAGCCATATTTTCTTTGAAACTTGTTTCTGTTCTCTCAAGCATCCAGTCATTACTGAAACTATTAGCAGATTTGGAGTTCTGCATTCTTTTGCCCTGCTCGGAAGTGGCATCAACAGATGTATCATTTTTCTGTATCAAATTTTCTTGATTTGAAAGCGATAATTCATTTTCTTGAGAATCTTGACTGTTAAACTGAGAATTGCTTCTTGCAAACGTTCCGTGTGAAGATGATTCTTGAAGAATTCCTTGTGATCTCTGGCAAAAGCTACCAAATCCTTGAATTCCTCTGGTCAACTTTCTTGCTCTCTCCCTTTCTTCTTTTAACAAAACTTCTTTCTGAAGCAGTTTTAATATTCTTTCTGATTTCTTTCTAACAATAAGCCCCCAATTGAATCTGCAGACCAAATTTTCTTATCTTGTCATAATTTAAATATCCAAGAACTATCAATACAGAATAAAAGAAAAAAAATTCAAAAAATGAAAATCACAAACCCTTTTTCATCTATGTATTGAAAGCCTTCCATTTCTTTAATAACCTCTACATCATTCTGAAACTCCCCAGCTACACTTTCAGGTCCATGAGTCAACAAGTGTTCAAGCACAATTAGTGAATTGTAAGAAACCCTCCATTTCTTTCTTTCAAATCTTAAAAACCTAATCGAAAGAAAAGAAAAAATCATACACAAATAATTACATATCAAAAACCAATTTAACTTTGGCTCAGTGCTATTCTTGAATTTTGATTTTCTGAATTTGAACCTAGTGGAAGTTTAATAACAAAATAACAACAACAATAATTAATAAAAACTTCAAACCTCTTGTGTAAACCTAATCGAAAGAAAAGAAAAAATCATACACAAATAATTACATATCAAAAACCAATTTAACTTTGGCTCAGTGCTATTCTTGAATTTTGATTTTCTGAATTTGAACCTAGTGGAAGTTTAATAACAAAATAACAACAACAATAATTAATAAAAACTTCAAACCTCTTGTGTAGAATCTCAACAATTCTCCAATAATCATCAACTTCAAAAGCAGCTCTTGAAATAGATCCAAGAGTTCGTGAGTCTGGTGCCCATGGATTTCCATTTGTAGCTTCCTCAGTCAATCTTTTAAAATATTCAAGCAAAACCCATAAAAATTCAATCCAAGTTCAAAATATAAACTTAATTTGTCAGAACCATAAAATAAACTTACAGTTCTGCAGGTGTAACATCTGTTAGAGCCAATCTTGCACTCTTGATCTTTTCTTTAAAGAAAAAAGAAGCTTGTTTCTTGAACTCGTAGAAAGAAGGTGTACCCATGTTGCTGCTATTGCTATTGTCTTTGCTCAAGATAGACATTTTAGTTTGAAACTATTACAAGATTTAGAAAAAAGAAAAGAAAATTACTAATTAGTTTTCAGATTTTTCAAGAAGGTAAGCAGAAAGATTAGCCTAACCAATCAATAAAGAAAATGTGTGCTATAACCTACTACACTCTACCAAATAGTAATCAAGAAAATAAGAAAAAGAAAATTAGAGATCATAAATGGGGAGAAAGATTCAAACAAAGATTTAAATAATGAATAAAAGAATGTTTATAAGTAACAGAGTGACAATGGTGAGAGCGATGAATTCAAGAAAGACAATAAATGGGAAAGATTAGTTTCTTTTCTTTATTTGTTTTTGCATTTTAAAGAATGGATGCGAAGTCAACATCTGTACAGTCTCTAGAAGGGCTATATAAGTGCCGGTTCTAACTTCTTAAGTTTGAATTTGAATTTTTCTTTTCCTTTTTACAGTATAGTTTTTGCTACTGCCAGTCTTGGGAGATCCTGTGGGAAATTACATACAAGGAGCGCCAAGTTTGGCTTGTTTTGATCATTTGATGCCTTGTCTCCGCTCCCAACATTTTTTATAAAATACGATAAAAAAAAGATTAGATGGTAACCTAAAAGAGTTGGACATCTATGGTAGTAAAATCCTTCTAGAAAATCCCCAAATAATATTTTTTTTTTCATGAAAAGAGCATAAAATTTAAGATATTATAAAAATTTTCGTAAAAAAATATATAGATGAATTTATATATGTGATCGATTAAATTATTTTTTTGAAATGTCACCAATTAAAATTTAACAAAAGTAATAATAAAATGAACTGAGTGTAATTGGTATTCAAAGTCTTTGTTTCATTTTTGAAAAAGATTTGGCAAAGTTCAACCAAAACGTCAAACACATAGCTACGTGGGTGCAAATATTCCAGCTTTTAGGTTTTTGAAAATCTCGACATTGAGAACTTTGACGTAGGTGGATTATAAATTGTAAAAGCATCACTCTTCATTTGAAAAATATTTTACAAAAATGTGGTATTATTCTTATTTTTTAACTTAAGTTATTTAATGTAGTAAATTGTGAAATTATATTTATTAAATATTTTAATGTATTAAGCATTTATATATATTTTTAAAAAAATTTATTTAAAATATTAAGAATTGCATATTTGTATGCTTATTAAATAATTAAAAATATAAAAATTTATGGTTAATAATTTTGATTTTATAAATTTAAGTGTTTAATATAACAATTTTATAGATCGAAATGTTTAATATATCAAATTAAAAATTAAGAACATCTAAACGTTTCAAATAAAAATATAATATATTTTTATATTCGGAAATTTTTTTAATTCTATGGGAACTTATCGATTCTTGCCTAAGATACTTGGCTTACAATTAAATTTTTTCTAAAGTTTAAATCTCTGCCTTAAAAATATATATATGGGCTTGGTGCTATGGCTGGTCAAAAGGGCCTCGCACACTTTTTACTAAAACCATGTCCAAAAAAGAGTGAGAGATGAAAATTAGGACATGCATTATGGGGAAATTAATTTACCTACTGCTAGGGGTGTAATTTCGTACGTATGGAATCAAATAACCCTCCTTTCAATTTCGTTTTTGAAATTTGAAATTGTATTATGTTCCATTCCAAATATTTTTTGGAATTTAAAATTTTATTTTATACCATTTCATTGAAATTTGGTAGTTCCAAATTTTTTAACCAAATACAAATCTAATACATTATGACATTTTTTAATATATAAATTTTTAAATTTAACAAGGAATTATCACCATATTTTTATATATAAATACTAAAATAACAATTAATTTGTAAAATAATAAATTAATATCACATATAATTAAAAATCAAAATATTTAGTCTTACATGTTTATAGATAGTAGATATATTTCACCCTTAATATTTAATAATTCTTTCCCTTAATATTTATAAATTCCAATTTAATAATTCAATTCATATAATTAACAATTTAATAATAATAATAATAATATAAAATCAACAAAAGATAATACCATTCGTATTAGGATGTATCGGTACGTAGTCACCAAATCCATTAAAAAGTGCTAAATCAATAAAAATATATATATTATGAGTCTAAGTATATAAACATTATCAGTATATTCATAATAGGTTGGTGCAAATTTAATGTTATTGGATCTTCTCTAGGCAAGCTCGGCGCAGCAGCTGTGGGAGGTGTTTTAAGAAACAATATTGGTCATGTTGTTTGTATTTTCTACCGGTTAGTCGGGGTTCTAGATTCTAATGAGATTGAATTTATTGCTATTTTCACAACAGTTGAGATGTTTTGGAATTCAGATTTTAAAATATTTTCATTGATCATGAAATTTTATTTTAAAAATGCTTTTTGTTGGATAATTCAAAAAAAAAAAAATAAAAGGCCATGACAATGTGAGAATGAACAAATTATTTTGCAGATTAATGTAATAAAAATTTGTTCATGTTGAAAGAAGTAGAAATCATTGTTCTATTGGCGAAAAAAGGTATTCGCGCTGAATTTCCATTTTTGGTATGGTTTTAATTGACGGGATGTTTGGATTTATATTGGTTTTTTATTTTCATTTTACTCTTTTCTAATTTTCATCTCTTACTTCAATAGATGTTCTCTAGTTTTCTTATTAATTTTGAACATTAGATTCTTTAAATGTATCGAGAAAAACCTGTTGGATTGGTTTAATTTCGCTCTATTTTGATAAATTTTAATAAAATTATTTGATTACTGATAAAAAAAACTTAATCAGAAATTTTTTTCTCACCTATCAAATAAGGAATTGAAAGGAGACAGTGAATTAAAATTATTAGTTCATGTTATAAATGATACCCTCCGCACCTTCTTCACTAAGTGCAGTCTGCAAAACATTTACTACCATCAATTTGTGGAAGTGGTTAGAAGTTGGGGCAGATTTATGATTAAAGTAACAGTCACAGTCAGTCACAGTCAGTCATTTACCCTTTATAGGATCTTCACGTTGCAGGGCACTTATTTTGACAAAAAGACATTGTACTAATAAAGTGTTACTAATAGTACTAGTATTCTTTGATTGACCTTTTTGAGTTTAATGCTAATGCTCTTTCATGTCAGGTTTTTATTTCAAGAAAGAAAAAGGCTGTAATGGGTTTCTTTGACTTTGGTTCTAGGTAAGTGGGAGCCTATTTATGACTGCACCTTACTCCAATAAATGCACGGTCAATACCCTTTTTGATGCACGCTAATTCACCAAGAAACAGTTGATGTTAGTAACTTAGCCATTGAATTACTAATCAAATGCCAAGCTCAATAATTCTTGGATTGGAAAGAAAAAAATTAATGGGTAACAATTGTAAAAAAAAATTGATTTAAAAGCTGAAGTGTTTAACCTTTTGTATATTTTATACAAAATAAAAATTAAATTACTAAATACTACAATTAATAAAAATAGAATTTTGATTTGATCAAAATATTAAATCGTAGTTCAAAAGTTACCGTCGAATAAAGATAATATTAAAATTTGCGGTGATTGTGTACCAAATCAATGAGCCAGGAAAGAGGCTTAAACGAACCCATTTGGTTATATTTTTTCAGGTATTGTCTACCAAAAGGAAAAAAAAATGAAGAAACATGTTGCCATTGGAACTAGAGGTACACGTCTTAAGTGATCATGAGCTTTTAGGCAACCAATGTATCTTTATTAAACTGAAAAGGAGAAAGCCAACATAAACAAAAATGAGACCTGTGTTATTCCCACATAGCACAATATCAATATGCCCAAAAAAGTGTTTATTAATAAAGATAATAAAAAGATTAAAGATGCAGATGCTAAGATAGCTATTGTTGCCAACCCCATAAGAGACTAATGTACAAATTAAAAGGAAAAAAAAAAAAAAAAGAAGAAGAAGAAGAAGAAAGGCAATCCCTAAAGTGAAAAGTAGAGATAGTATGGAACAAAACCCTTTTCAAAAGGAATGCCGTTTATTAGTAGAAAATTACAATTTTCTATGACAGTTTATATATATATATAATCATCAAGAAGAACCTACTGCTTTTACAACTTTACACTCCTCATCACCCACTACATTGCACAACTAAGTTCCTAAAACACTCATTTCATGGAAACTTAATTGTTGTTACAGAGGTGACAAGGAAAAAAAAGAAAGAAAGAAAGAAAGAAAGAAAGAACGAGACAAAATGGCAAAAAGGAAATGCCTGATTTTTCCGCCTCCTTGCAGATGTCTATATTTCTTCTATCTGTGGTTTTTCTCTACTTATACACATGATCTCCATATTCTTCCCTCTAAAGAAATAACGATTATTGAAATATCATCATGGTATCTCCTTCGATCACCCTGTGGTATTTCGAGCAATTCATGAAAGTCCATACCTGCAATGCATTATTATACCGAGATCAATACAGTAATTTTTCTAGATATTTTATATCTTAAAAAAAAAAAGAAAAGACAAGCTTTCTTATTGATATTTAAGTAATACCAGCTTTCTTGGCTGCTCGGAATAGCACCTCCTCAACCAGATGCTGTGCTGGATCACCTTCAGGTTGTAAGGAGATGAAAAGCTCAACCTCATTGACAGCTTCTTCGTTTGTTAGGTACTGATAAAGCCCATCAGAGGAAAGTATCAAAAACCTGTCTTTAGGGCCTAATCTATGGTGGCGGAGATTCGGTAAACAATTTATATACGGGGAATTGCCAATGTAGTCAATTCTGAACATTTCTAGAAGTGCATTGTTCCACTTAGGCTGCATATTAGAAATCAAGCATAAGATAGAAGAAATTTGCAGACTTAATTGAAAAAAGAGCAGAAAGAAACACACATTTGCACAAATGCTCTGCCCTCCTTGATAATGGAAGTGAAATTAACCATTTGCTTATTGTACATAAAGTTTTCAGGACCACACTTACTTCGATAGAAAATATACAAACTTCAAAATTACTAATGTACGTGGTGCTTTATGTAAAAGTTCACTTACAAAATATTGCCTATCATTTTATTTTGCTTTTGCCAAGAACAGTAAATTATAATAATCTCCAATTGAAATTGCTTCTCTTTTTCCCCCATCAATCCACTCCTTTAATCACTCCTATTGCTATTTCTAAATCAACCAATCAAGTTTCTTTTTTTTTTTTTTTTTCTTTTCCCATTCTGCCAGAAATTGGTTATAAGCTACATTATATTGTTGTACAATATTTCAACCCGGCACACATTTTCTTGCTCAGATAGTCAGATAAAGGGTTATAAGTTGCTGAACAATAGTTAAATTTTCAGTTTTGTTTGGTACGAATGAATTCTACAAAAGTTTTGAAGTTCACTTAAATTTCATATTTTCATATTTGGTGAGAATGTTCATTTCTCTCTATTGAATTTAATTTATGGGATTCAACATAACTTAACAAAATTACATAATCTGTAAGCTAATTCATTTGAAGTTCATTTATACCAAGCAAGGGGGTTAAAATCATGACCGAAGATTATCATATGATCTTCATGCTGTATCAACAGAACTCCCAAATTAATTTTTGAACTTTTTCCAAACAATACACAAGACTGCGTTTTTAGCTTCTAACAAAAAACAATCAAGAGCTGGAGAGTTTAGGCTGGATAAAATTACCTGCTTAAGAAAACCTGCACCGAAAGCCCTAGTGACCTTCAATGAACCTTTGACACGGTCATTCAACACAGGACAAACATCATCCGGATGTTCACTCTTTATTCTTTGAATTTCCTGAAAAAATACAACCAAATAAGGCTCAAATCACTAGAACAAATAAAAAAGCAGCTCTAATGTCAAAAAATTTTCAAGCATAGATTTTTTTTCACCAAAAAACCACAAACTAGTTTATACCTCTTCCACGCTCGTGCTATGATCAACAGTAAGTTGCAAGGCATTCAAAGTTGGAATTGAATTTGATCTTTCACATTCATAAGCTTCAAGATCATGTAAAGTTTCCTCATTTATCCTCTCCAAATCCTGCCTACTCTTCCCTAACCAGTAATCAGGCTCTGCTTTTTGCCCTAATACTGCTCTACTATCACCCACATTCATGACATACACATCTTCTCCCTTCATTAACATTACAAGCACACAAGAACCCATCAAAGACAATTCTGGATTCTCCATTAACATTTTATCAGCAATATCCAAGTACGACTCCTCTGTTTTTTTCAAAGCCTGAGACAGAGCTTTTAGTACATCTGTATGATTTATAGCTCCATTATCCGACCTGGATCGATTCAATTGCTCTTTTAATCTCTTATCAAGCTCTATTCTTTCCCTATCCCATTCACACTTCCATCTCATTTGATTCTCTTCCCATTTCTTTGCAATTCCTCTATATTTCCCTCCCTTTTTTCTCTTACAACTCGAATCAAAACTCGAGTCCTGGCTTGAACATCCATCATTTCCGCAAGTTCTATCACTTTCACTAGTTTGTAAACCATTTTCCAATGTTGAAATTGGATTAGCATCAGCCAATCGAACAGGGGAGGATACAGGGGCAGAGATTTTAGCAGATTCAAATTTATCATCCCATAACAATCCTTTAAGCTCTTTATGCACAGCAGAGTAAAGATTAGTGGAGAGGAAATCAGTAGCATCTGGACCATTAAATCCATCATAAATTCCAACAAAAACCCAACCATGTTCTTCTGATACAACTACATGTACACGATCCTCCCCTGCTTTTCCTTGTGCCCAATGAAGATTTTGGCTCTCAAAACTATCATCATCTTCTAAACTACCATCATGACTCAAAGTATTAATGCTACTTACAGTCAAATTCTCGTTATGTTGCTTTTCTGGATTCACTAACCAATCTGGTTCTTTAAGAACTCCGCCTTTTATAGGTGCCACGATTGAATTCTGCCCTCGATACAGTGTTTTCGATATTGCTCTTTGCAATACCCGAATCAGTGACCTCTTTGCCGATCTGCGTCGAAAAGCGAAACCGCCATGAGAGAAGCTTCTTTGAAACTGATCAGAACTACCTTTCTCAAGCGGACCCGAGAATAACCCACGATCCAATGGACCCGACATAAATCCTCCCTCAATTGGACCAGATAGGAACCCTCTTTCTAGCAAAGGACCCGAACCCGGAACCATACCCGTACTCCCTGTCAAAGGACCCGAATTAATTGAACCGACAAGATTTCTCGGAATTGGTTGAAGAGGAATCGACGCAAAAGAAGTAGAGCTTTCAAAAGCTGCAGCTCTGTCAATAGTATTATACACATAAGGATCTATAAACGCCGTGGACAGAGGCGTTGATGTGTTGGCGCTGACGGAGGCACCAGAGATAGTCCGGAACGTGGTGGTTTCTTCTGAATGGACTTTAGAAGAGGAGAGACGGGTCGGGTCTGGGCGAACATAACAAAAAGAGTGACCCAGGCCTTCATCCAGTGGGTCGGACAAGAACACCGATATATCTTGTCGCCGGCGAGCCTCTCCAGCTCCAGTGAAACAGACTGTAAGCTTACCAAACCCATTACCCATTGAAAATAAAAGAAGATAAAAGAGAAAAGCTAATTTTTTTATATTTGGGTATTCACTAAAATCACTTCCAGTAATGTTTCATGGCCAAGTAGAGAGGTAGAGAGATAGAGAGAAAAGGAGGCTGAAGAGAAGAAGAAGAAGAAGAAGAGGAGGAGGTGAAGTACAGAGAGAGAGAGAGAGAGAGAGGAGGCGTTGACTTTTGGGGTAGGGGAGGTTTGAAATTAGAAATAGTTATGTTTTTTTTAGTGATTTTATTTTTTGTTTTTAAAAGAAAAAAACAAAAAGGAATTTGAAAAAAAAATAAAAATAAGAATTGGAGTTTGCTTTGTGTGTGTGGCGTTGACTATAGTTGAGAGCTTTGATTATGAGTTTACATTAGTGGAGTTATTAATCGAATTGCATTATTAGCGCGTATGTTACACATATTTTTTTTTTATTTTCTAATTGTTTTTTAAAGTATTGCGATAGGAAAGATGTTTGGTTTTAGGACCACAAACAATGGATGTGAAATGGAACAACAAACATTTTCTGCTCAACCCTTTGAGTTTGGGTAGAGTGGCGGTTCGAATTCCCTTCAGTCATTTTATGAACATACCAATCTAATTTTATATATTTTTTTTTTGAATCTGCAATTTAGTTCTTACATATTGTAATAAGTAATTCTTCTTCTCTTCAATATAAATATTATAAATATTATGTCGCTGAACAATGTAAATGATAGAGGTAATGCTTTGAATTTAGTCAAAATACTAAAAGCAATATTAAAAGTTATTGCCGAACAAAATCTAAGGCATCTGACTATAAAAAGCCTTTTAATTTAAGACATCTAGCTTTAATATCAAGTTCATCATTTCAATCTATCACGAAATATTATTCTCTCTAAAAGTTTCATTAATCATTTTCTCACGATTTTATTTTCAAATACAGCCTTATTATTCAAACATAAAAAACATTTGTTAGTCTAACACAGATCCACAATTAAGTGCAAACAATTTTCCCTTAAGCTTATTTAAGAATGATACATTTTTAAATGAATATAATTAACAAATTATTTATTTTTTGAAAATTGGACTTTGATCAAGGTTTAGTGATTCCGTATGTCATCCTAGCATTTCAAATCCACAATAAAATCACTGACCCTTGGAGCTATTAATAACTTTACATCTCTCTATATTTTCTGGGAAGTTTGAAGCAGAAATTCAAATTGGAGGGCTTAAAATCAGAATTGACTATGAAAATATTAGAAATACTTGGATCTTAGAGAATAAGGTTTCTCTCTCCTTCTCTTTATTTCTTGGTTTGTGTTACTTTTTTAATAAAATATTGTTACTCATTTATTTCTATTTTGTTTACATAGTTTGACAAAATATAAATATGAAAATTTAATTAATAAAAATTATTTTATCCTTTTTTACCTTTCACTCGTTAAGACATTAATAAAAGTCATTCATTTAATAACAACTATAAAAATTATTATGAAAAAAATAATTATTTACGTTATTTAAATTTAGAAACTTTGCAAACATTTTGGAGAGAATAGTTAGGAATTGAAAATGAATTGATTTACATAGAGGCCATATCTAATATTTGATAACTCACTTCATCTATTAGAGCAAAGAAATTGAAGACCAAAAATTGATCAAAGGCCTAAATAAAGCTTTCTCGAATTTGGAAACTGATTTAACTCAACTACATTCTAATTTTCAATGCAAAGGAAATTTTAAACTAAAAATTACATTAAACTATTGATAATTTTAAAGTTCAACAAATTAAATATATATTGGTTTGATTTATTTGGAATGATTTTAATCTTGAAAATTATATAAAATGAATCGATACTTTGATTAAATTTTCCCATTTATAAACGGAATCAATTCAATAACTTTTTTGAGAATATAATTTTTGAGCCATTTGAATTGGTTCAAAGGTTTGTAAACATTTATGTTGAATCATGTTACACGTCTTAATTTGAATAACATTACTGTTATACTATATTATAATATCATATCATTTCATTTGATAATTAATTTGATTTATAGATAGAACGATTTTAGAATTGAGAGATTATAAATTAAAAATTAATAAAAAATGCATACTTTATGTTTTTTTCTTAAAATAAGAATAAGTTTTAATAAAAGGTTTCAAGATTTTTTTTTTATTTTTTATTTTTTTGTTTTTTGAAAGAAAAGTGCTACTAAATTTTTGTAAAATGTGAAAGAGACGGAGGGTGTCAAGACGCGCTGGTAGAGGGGCGTAGGGGGACGGTAACGCAAAGGCGAAAATAAGAAAAGAAGATAGTAAATTGCGGTAAGGAATCAAAAAGTCAAACAGGCACGGCTCTTAAACGCGCTTGGGGAAGCGTGCCATAATGGCCGTTGGATGGGTGGAGAGCAGAGATTAATGAAGTGAAACGTGGCAAATTCTAATTATGACCTGACTGACTTCTAATACCATTTGTCAACTCCAGGGTTGCCTCCGCAATCGCAACTTGACTTTCGCCTTTAGCAAATTCCTATTTTATATTCTTAATAATCAATTCTTTAATTTATATTTCCCGCAAATTATACAGAACTTTATTTTTCAAAAAAAAAAAAAAAAACCAGTATATATATGTATACATTAAATTCAGTAAATATGCCATTTTAATTATTTTAGTTATAGTAATCTCATTCTTATTTAGAAAAAAAATAAAATAAAACCCCATTCTTAGCTCAAAAAAATTAAAAATTTATCTTATAAATTTATAAATATTTTTTAGAAAATTTATGTATTTTAATTCAAAAACGTGTTTAGTAGAACCGGATATGCTCTATTTAGTATAGTGTGGAAAGTATTAGGTGAACTTTGCTAAATATGATAATTTTTCATTTTAAAATTAAAAAAAAAAAAACCAAAGTTTATGTTGACTTGTAAATCTTTGACCTTTGAAAAGAGAAGGGTATTGTAAAGAAGATGGCAAATTCTCTTTTCCTCCCTTTTTCTGACTATATATAATCTAATTTTCTAACCAAACATTTAAATAATGAAGCATTAGTATTTTCCTTTTAAAAATATAATAAACTTTAAAGTTTTTAATCTAAAAAATAATATTTACAATTTTTTTTATAGAATTGCTAAGTGCAAGTTAACTTTAAACTAAGTATAATTATATAAAATTTATAAATAACTTACAACAATAATAATGTATTTAAATTATATATTTTATAGATGTTTTGTTCAATTTTATTAAAACAAAGTATAAAATTTAGAAAATACAAAAAATTAGGGTTATTAAAAAAAAAGTTGATGTTGTGGATATTACTCGTGAATTTAAAGTACAATAAATTAAACTGAAAATTTTAATCTTATAAAAGAAAAATGGTTTGTTAGAAGTAAAAATTTTTAATCATTGCTTATGGATTTTAATGTGTTTAATGATTAAAAATTAGGCGAAATAAAAAATGAGTTTTTTGTTTACTTATTTATGAATATTTTAATCTCGACATAAATGATGTATTTTTGAATGGATTTAAATTAAAAAACCTTTTAGATTTTCTTTAGAAGGTACCAATTGAAAAACCAGTGTTTAGATAAATCAAATCATTGCTTTATGTATTTTAATACAAATTGAATTATTATTGTTCATATATTGAGATTATTATTGCCCATATATAGATATTTTATTCTCAATTCTAGTCGTTCTGACAGTTTCTAGATTATTGTTATCACTATTCTGGTGATTTTTTTTATAATATTTTATTATTTATATAGTTATATAGAAAGAAATGCAAATCTACTCTCTGAATAAAAATTAAAGATAATCTGATTGGACTTTAAAAGACCATGCAGTCAAACAATGCCTAAGTGGAGGAGCTATCACCTGTGATACATATATCATATTTTGTCAACTCAATTGGATATTTCAAATCAAGATGATATCTTTTTATTCTTTATATAAATAGTTTATTATTAGACTTTTTATGCAAAAATAAAAACATATTAACTTATATTTCATTTCTGTATGTAGTTTCCTCTTAATAAAATTTTGAGTTTCATTTCTTTAAAAAAAAAAAATTCAAACATTTGTGTTGAGCTGTGTATAATATAGTAAAAAATATAAGGTATTATTTAGTTTTTACTTTTAAAACAAAAAAAAAATTTATGAAAATAATATTTTATATTGTGAAACAGAACTCAACCATTAAATCGATTAGAATTGATATCCTTTAGTGTAATTTCACATCTTCTATAAGTGTAATGTAATGTGATGGAATCATAATATCATATTGTAAATTAGTGTTTAGAGTTTCAAACTTTTTTTCATTTTACGTACGCTTTAGGTTATCAAATACCAATCAATATATATATTTAGTTACAAAAAACTTTGAATTTTGATTTTTTTTTTTCAAATTTTTGACCAATATTTTTTATTTTATCAATAATATCTTGAGTTTATTTTTTCTTATTAATTTTTATCCATCCAAATTCCATTAAAGACTAACAGATTTGACCGTTAGACTCTACATGTTGTCATTTGAGCACCTTTTGTTTCTTTTTTTTTTTTTTTTTTTTTTTTTTTTTTTTTTTTTTTTTTTAGTCAGACTTTAGTCCAGCGGTACACTTTCATTGAACTGGGTTTGAACAGTGCGCTTTAAAATGCTTAACTAATGTCTCATTTTCTAACAATTGTCAATATAATAAAAAACATTTACCATATGGCAATAAAAAGAAAGGTGTAGCATGTAGAGGCAAATGGTTTTTAGGTACATGATAGCTTCCAACACTAACCAAAAGCAATGGTGGAAAAAGGCCCATATGCCATATCTTGTATTAAATATTATTAATTAATTAATTAATTAATTAAATTAAATTAAAATAATTAAGTAGATATAGTCTAAAAGGGAACTTGGTTTTAATATGTTAATTACACAAATTTCCATTTTGATAATGATATCCCATTTGAGAATTCAAAGCCATCATCATTCAATATCACACAAGTGGAGAAACCTTCCAAAGCCCACCATCTCCACAATCCATTTGCTTGACCCACCCAACCTTCCTCAATCCCTCCCTCTTTGTCTTCTTTAACATCTACTCCTTCATTCCTATACTTATCCAATAATGCACATTAATTAGTTTATATTCTTCTACTTGACCATTTGCAATCTCAACAAATAAAATTTGTTTCAAGGCTCCTTAGTTTAATAATTCAACGGTTATTGATTTCAAACTGTA